TTGTTCAAAAAAAAAACTTTTTTCTCAGAATTATTCAAAACATATATAAATCGACTCAGTTTTTGCAGTACACATAACAATCGGATGCGAATCCGATGTTTCTTCATTTATATATATATATATAAATCAGAACATTTCCTCGTAATGCTTAAGGAGATTTAGCTAGATTTTAAATTTAAACATTGTAGGCGTACTGATAAAAATTTGAAATATACCAAGTTTTTATTAATGTACAAATTTTTTATTACAGTGATGATGGAGTTGATGCTATATCATTTTAAAGATTCATATAAATAATGTTAACAAAAGTGAGTAAAAATTGAAAATAAAGTTGAACATCTGTTTTTGGATTAGAGAAAAGTTTGATTCATAGTTTCTGTTTGAATTATTCTTCTAAGGTTGATTTCATCGGAATGCACCAACACAGAATTTATCTAAAAATTAGAAAAAAAGAGCATCAATTGTGAAAATTATTTTTCATGTCCAATGTATCGAAAAAAATTATTTAACATCTGCATAAAGTATTGATTTTTTTTATTTAAAGCATTATATTAAATATTTTATTTATCTTAAAAACAGCGGTTTAAACTAGCATTCCCTACATCTAACTTTATACGAAGGAATATCAATTATCAGTCTCTGATACTTGTTCACTGTAATTGTCTTTCTATATATTACAGCTGACAGAAAAATTATAATAGGGTCTTTACAAATAAATTTCACAAAATTTGAAAAGATACAATTCATCTTAATCATGAACGTAAAATATCATAAATAAATAAAAGTCAACTTATGCAGAAAAGTCTTTTTTTTAAATCGGTTATAAACAATGAAATTTAAACACTAGGGAAGGTTGTCACAAAAGATACACGTAAAATATATTGAAATCTTGAAAAGATCTATACGAAAACTGATATTGATAGATATAAAAGGAAAGTGTATTCTTATTCCTTAACCGAGAAAATAAAAGAATTCGCAAGATAAATAAATCAGCATACATAAAAACTTGATTTGCCAAACACAATGTTATTAACTGAATTGTTTGTTCTTATTTTACTACTTTACTTTGTTCTTAATCATCATCATCATCGTCATCGTCACTGTATACAAATAAATCCATTTTTTCAAGACCCAATGCTCCATATTTGCTCACAAGCGAACCAAGATAAAGAAATGGGATTGCAATACATAAAACTTTGATTATACCAAGAGGATATCTTTTTGGCATCTTTATGCAAAAGGTAAAGAGCAAAAAAATGTAAATGAACATTTTTTGTTTTGTTTCTGTTAACTTACTGGTCGAATTGCGCCCGACTCCGTATAAACTCCTTTTGACATGTACGGTTCAAGTCGTATGTCATCCTGTTGACTTTTTTTTCGACGATCTTCAATAAAACGAATAAAAAATGATCGAGCAGGTTTTTTTGTAGTTGTTTGTTGTGTTACAGAAACACATCGACGAATAATTGGAAAAACTATATTATCACATAGTTTTTTACTAGCCATACAGGATAATTTTATATGCACAACACACAAACAGATTAATATTAATATTAATATTTAATACTGTTCTAGTAAGCTCTTGGTAATGTTATTATTATTATGATCGGTCCGGTAATAGGGATTACGTACGTGTATCTATTGGCTATTATCTTTGATCAAGTTAATAAGCAATTCCAAAGAGGTCGCTTTTTACGCATCAAAAGAACTATTTTCTAAATGTTTTTCTCTTTACTTTGTGTTTTAGATTGAAAATTGTTTAATTGTATATGATCTTATAATATATAATAAAAGTAAAATTTTAGAGTTCTTTCTTGATTTCCATATACGTGTGTCATCATCTTCTCTATTCTGTTATGTAGTGAATTCGAAAAGAGAAAAATCATTTTTCTACTATTATCGATCGTCAGTTTTGAATCAGCTCGTTTTCAGATGATACAAGAAAAACAAATGATGAATTCACCACCAGTTGACCTTCCAACACTTCGAAATCATTATAATTATTATACAATCAAAAACAAACATATTCCTATTCTCTATCGGTTTGTTTTGCTTGCATTACATCTCTCAAATATATATTTATCCTCATAAATAGAGTCAAATCGAATATTTATTATCCGTACATTGCTTTTGAACTGGTTGTTGATGAACTAGATGCTCATTGTTCAACATGGAGTTCATCAAAAAACTTACCTTTATCACCAATGACAATAAATGAGAGAATTTTATACAAAAATTTATATCCAGAAAAAGATTTTACATCATCATCAAAACTAATTTTATGTTCAATAATCGATCAATTTCTTCAATTAGTTAATTTTTTAAAAAGAATTAAAACTTCTTCGACAGAACATGACAAAAGAAAAGTCTTTGCTCATTTTAAAATAGATATTAATTATGGAACCATACAAGAAATCGATATACTTAATTCTGAAGCAACAACAAAGTATGAAGACAATTAAATATTTTCATCAACAATATCTTGATGGAAACTTTAGATATAATTCTATGCGTTCAGCACTTCTTCCTTCACTTCAAACAGTCAAGCGAAAACTTTGTTTTGATGATGAAAAGGTAGCGAAAATATTTTGTTTGCTTCTTTTTTTTTAATAAGACTTTACGTATTAGAATAAATCTTTTTCTTAAGTTTGATTTGTCATCAATCGGTGGCTATCTTCAGTTAGATCGTTGTATATATCCATATATAATCTCGCCCTCTGGTATTCTTCTTAATTTGAATGATCTTCGTAAACCATTTAGTTCAACAATAAATATTCTAATGCCATATTTTAATGCTCAACCAGTAAATTTAATAAATAATTATATGAAAATAGTTGAATATGGTACACGTTATATAAAAAAATATAAATATTATTATAAAAATGTTGATGATAAATTTATTTCTCTTTATCATTTACTTCTATGTCATCGTTCACTATTCTTTGTACAATTATTTAATTCAAGCAAGATTTCATTAAGAAATTTACATGAATATTATCGGTCAGATTTTGCAAATCTATTAACAGAAAATATTGTCAATAGTGGATATTTATATGATCAACCTTGTATTAATGGATGGCGCTTAGTTGATTCAATGATGTTAGACAATGAAGAAAAAACACGTTTAGCTACAGATGATGAAATTATTCTAATTAATTGGCTTTTAATTTATGATAATAAATGCCTTAATGTACATAATCAAATATATGATTCTATTCTTGTTAAACAACAATTATCTCTTGCTGCGAAAAACATGAAGTTTCTTCAATATGAACATATTAAAAAACGAGAAATATTAAATAATCAGATTCCTATGTAGTTAGATTTTCTTCTTAGCTTTTTTTGGTCTTTTTTACGTCTGTTTTTTTTTCTTTTAATTTCAATATGATTTGATATGAGATGTACATTTGAATGATTATTAAAAGAGCAAAATAAAAAGACTTGATAATTATGTCACAAAAAAGATAGTCGCACGCATGTTTGTAAACTTTACCGATTAAATCAATTAGATTGTCGTATAATCAACTAAATTCTTCGTCGTGCACCAAGTAACGCTGCACAATGTGGGCAATAATGTTCAATGTCCTAAATGAATAGAAAAACAAAAGTAAAAACAGAATTTTCTATTTTTTTTTCGTCTATTGAATATCAATAGACATACTTTGAGACTATCAATACAAAATGGAATAAGGCAACAACCTAGCCAACCACCCATCAAAAGAATTCCACTACAAATTAACCACGATAGTAAAGCTTCTTTCTTTTCTACACGTGTAACAATGATTTGATAGCAATTAGGACAACTACATTGAATAGGTAAGTCACCGTACATCAACGGCCGTGTTGTTATAAGCATATTGGTACCAGCAGGTGAAGAATATGATGGTAAAGCCATCATAGATGTTGGACACATACCCACAGGTGCTGCTTGTGGTGGAAAAGCTGTAGAGGATATTGTGTACGCACCAAATGCTGGCGGCATAGTTGCAGTATGTGGTGAGTGTGTTGCTTGTTCTACAAAATTAAGAAAATCATTTTTCATATAGAACTATGTTTTCAACGACTAACTGTATTACCATAAGTGGGTGGAGGACTTGATTTTTCTTCCGTTGGATAAACACTAGTCATCGTTGTTTTTTGTGAGTATTACTTTACAAGAAAGATTTTCTGGACTACAACTTTTTTTTGAGTTAGTTGATATTTTCTCCGGTTCTGCCTACTTTCTCTTGCTAACACGACACTCATCTTTCTCAGGCGGCAGGAAAAAAAGTTTATTATCTTCAGTGTTTAATCTTACTTTTTTCTTTTTCTGTCTATTTAATTACAGGAATGAAAAAATTGAACGAAGAAAAACATGACATCATCGACGTGAAGGCAGAAAAAAAGAAGTCTGCGCTTACGTAAGTTCTTCTTGTTTTGCTTATTAGAATAAGAGATATATGCAGACAGGTTAGTTCTTGCCTCTAGAAATTCGATATATATATATATGAATGCAACCTTTATTAGTTGAGATTAAAATATTTGGAATCAATGTAAAGATTAAGATTTCATTCTGGTTCAACATTATCAAAACGTCTCATAGTTTTTTGCTAATACCAAGCATTGGATTACAGCTCGGACAATAATGTTCTGTATCCTATATGATTTATATAATAGAAAAATATTTCAAGAAGAAATAAGGTTTACTTTGCAAGCATCAATACACAACGGTATGCAACAACAAACCCAAAAGCCAAAAATGAAGAGAGCCCCAATACTAATCCAGACAAGAAGACCATTCTTTTTTTCTGTTCGTGTAACAATTTGTCTTCTACATTGAAAACACGTACATTGCATTGGATACTGACCTACAATAGTAATTGGAGCTACGATAGATACCGGTTGAGTCATCGGCATAGGTAGTGCGCTTGTTGGTAATGATCTAGTGTTTTCAGAGGCTATTAAATAGAATATAATTATCAAGTGATAAATAGTGTCCTGTATTGGAGTCGGACTTGGAATCGGAATCGTCAAAAAAATATTTTCCGAAATCGGAGTCGGAGTAAAAAATGGAACAGGACTCCGAAATTCGATTTCTACTCTGACGAATCTGAAGTAGTAGAAAATAAAATAAATTTTTTATGAGTTCACGTTTGTGCTATATTACTACAAAAATCACATCATCTGACTTTCACTTAGATACAAGTTTATTCATGAGTATATTGTATAATGAACAAAAATATGCTAATTATAATTTTATAAATAAATCCTAAGCAAAAATAATATGAAAATACTTCCACCATTCACTTGATCTTGATGTTTTTTTCTTCTCAACAAATTTTATTGAAAGAATCATTATCTTTAATTAATTGTTCAAGTTCTTGTTTAGTTAAATGCTTTTTATTCATAATATTTTTTGCTTTCGAAAACAAACGTAAAGAAATAAATTCTATGACAATGTGCAGTGTTTCTTCCTTATTGATTCATTTACTTATATATCCTTTTAGAATATCAAACATTTGATATGAATTAGATGTCACTAAGCTGCAAAAAAAGTCGGGTTTTTCCGGAGGCGGAATCGGATTCCCGGAAAAATTTCCCGGCGGAGTCGGAGTTAGAATCGGAATCGAAAAAAAAATTTTCGTAATCGGGTCGGGTTCAAGAATCAAAAAGTGCGACTCCTCTGATCTCTAGTGATAAACAAGTAAAACAATTTAGTTTACCATAAGGTGGTGGTGGTGCCACGTTCATTTTGTTTTCTAGTTTTTTATGTGATATCTAGCAGAATAAGAATGACAGCAAAATAAAAAATACTTTTATTTATATGAAAGCGACGAACGGCAATAATGCAAGTAGAACAATGTTGCGATAGCAACAGTACTAAAGAAAAAAGAATAAAACGAACAAAGAGATATTGTTTACCCTTGCTTTTGGCAATAAAGTTAACATTGTTAGAATAGGAAGTTAGGAATCGTGTGATTGCTTAAGTTACACAGCTTTTTTTATGTTTTACGTGTCTCTACGGTAACATATTAAGAAAATATAGTAATTGCAAACTGATGTAGAAAAATTACTTTAAATAATATGTCATAATTGTTAAAATTGAAACTGTTTCCGAATGCTACTTTGTTTTCTAGAATGTATATTACTACGATCTTTCCTATATTTTGGTTCATATAAAATGAGGTTTCATTTGAGAAAAGATAAATTTAAAATGAAGGTACACTTTGCTATTTCTTTCTTTTATCAGACAGAAAGATTCTGTTGAATGCCATCATGTGATTTTTCTGTACAGATATTTAGGCAGAAGATTTAATTTCATGATCTAGTTTTAACCTACGATGAAAAGACCTCTTTTACATTAATTTTATTTTTAGACAAAAACAAACAATTTGCTGTTCTATTGATTATAAATAGGTTTGACAATAACTTTATCTTATAGATAAAATAGAATATTGCAGTATTGCAATGAGAACTCTTTTCTATTACAGATGTCTGCAGAATCAATAGTATTACTAATATATAGAAAAACAAACAGTTGATGACGTTCGCTGGAATTTTGCTCGATATTTTCGATATGATATAGATAACTAACATCCTATAGAACAAGTATAAGTTCATTTCAATTTCTACTTATATAATCGATCATTGCCATCAATTGAAAAAATAGAAATAAGCATAGAAATTTGAAGATATATAAAATGATCCTTTTTTTATTTATTTTAATATCTAAAAGTTGTTCATGGAGATTATCTTATGGAATATAATGAGAGAATCATAAAATTGAAAGTTCGACAAGAAATGAATACATTCATATACTTATTCTACGTTTTAACTAGTAAAAGATTAATATTTAGTTGACATTCAATGCGAATCGATTACAAATTGTTGTTTCTTCATCTTATTTCATCACACATTTTCGAATACTGAGAGTAAATAAAAACATTGTAATAACTAAAAAAATTTCCGTGTAAGTAAATAAGATATTTCATTACATATGAACGGTTTTTATGAATTATAAAGAGCATGATATGTACTTAAAGCACTACACAAAACACAAAAGATTTCCTCGCTTCTTTTACAAATACAACATGCTCATCTAATTAAGTTAGCAAAGATCTTTACTAGAGGTTTTTATTTCAGATGCGCGTCTTCTCTTTGTTCACGTCTATCTCCATATTATTATACGTTAGAGTGATAGAGTTCTGATAATTAGAGAATGAAGTACCTTCATTTATGTTTCATTGTTTCAAAATTTATTTAATGATTTAAAGAAATGGTCAAATATTTTCGAAATATTTCGATTGACTCAGTCACAGTTTTCTTATAAATAAAGGCTATGTATCTGTTCAATCACTATGCTAAAACAAAGGTGAGTGAAAACAACATAAAAATTTTCACTAGTGTAAATGCGTTTTCTACATATCAGCTCCATATTAGAAAAATTCTTTTTTGTTGAATTTCTAATGTAACCGATTTACGCAAAGAAAATCCATGTAAGAGAAAATTGAAATAAAATTTCTGTTTTACTTCATGATAAAAATGTGAATAAGCTTTTAAAACAAGATTGCTTAAAAAAACACGAATTATTATCTATAGTTTGTGAAATTAATTTAACTCGTCATTGACTTTGAATAGCTACAAAAGCTTGTAAAATACTGAGCATTTATCATGATATCATAAGTTTCAGATAATTTGAAGATTTTATAGTTCTCTTATTTATATAGCATTTTATTCTAAATCATCAGGATGGAAAATTTATCTGTTTTTTTTCTCAAAATATGGCGTATATTACATATTGATCAGGAAAAGAATAGAAAATAAAATCTAGTTCTTGTATCATTGTTAACACAAATGACAAAATAATGTACTCCAAAAGATTTAAAGAACTTCAAGGTCTGTTGTGTCTCTTGACTGTCAATTAGTTTCTAATTGCTGCTGGTGCGTTTTGATCCACTCTGTGTTGAGCGCATGATGGATAGAATATAACACTCTTGATAGTAAAATTTTATGTGATGGCTGATCTGTATGAGTACGATTCGAAAATATACATTGAATTGGTTATACATTGATGAAAGTTTCATGTCTTATTGGAATGACAACGACTATATGGATTATCAAATATGGTGTAATTTTCTGTATTTCAACAATATACAAAAATAATTCTCAAAATATATTTATCTAAGAGTGTTAGAATAATGCTAATACTACGAAAAAGAAGCATATCAGTAGTTACCATTAAATATTCACCATAGAAAATTCGATTTCAAGATGTCAAAGCTTCGATATTTCATGTATTTGAAAGTATTTTGTAAGACATCACCAGATCTTTACGTTTTTCGATATATCCTTTGGTTTCTATGTCTTGCATAATTTATTGCTGAATTGAAACTACATGTAGATGACAACAAACATATTCTATGATATATTAGTTTGAGTCTGATTGATAAGATACTATAGGAAATCTAAAAAACAACTTCTTAAGAAAACTAATTATTTTAATTTAACAGTGAGCAGAAATAGAAGTATAATAAATGGTATATAGATTTAGGTTCAATATGTTAATACAGATTAAAATTTAAACAGTATTCACCCAACGTGAAACGTATCAGTTTTAATGCAGAAAATTCAGACAATTAAAAATTAGCTGTTCATATCGATGAAAGTTAAACTACACAAGTTTCGTATCTATCAACAACGATTATTGAATCTTTTTCTTTTATCAAGACATTCAAATAATAAAATAATGAAGTAAAAAAATCATAGCTTGTATGTTGTACTATTAATAAGTATGACCATTAAGAAAAATATACTTCATTGAAATCTGTTTAAAAGTATCATTTTCTTATTGTTTCTAATAAAATAGATTTTATTATCTGTTCGGTTCACAATATGACCAATGTTTATTTCTATGTAGCTAATAATGTTGTAACTTAACATTTTCAGAATATTTTGTATTGAAATCATTTTTTTGTAATTAGAGTGTATTCATGATTGAAGTATTGAGAAGCAGGTCAAATCATACACCGAGTGTATACGTATGCTATAACAAAAATCATCAATTCAGTACAAAATAATTTATTAATCGTGTTGTCCTATATTTGGAACATATGTTTTGTTTGATTCAAAGAAACTTGAGGAATCTCTCACTAAGAGATGTGTACAAGATAAAAATAACTTTCCTGTTCTTCGTAAAAGAGTTGTGCATACTGTTTCTTGAACATCATATTTGAATCTTATCTAACTCTATAGAATGAACATCTAGAAATAGCATGCCAATTTTCTAACCGAACAGAAATTTCTTTTCGAAAACATTATTGAATTGTGTAATTATATATATATATATATACTTAGGATATACCAAAAGTTCTGGCCACGAGATCTTTAGTTCGACAAAATCCATAGTTTTGAAAGTTTTGCTGCGCGAATATATATAGCAATATGCCTATTCTATGATACTGCATATATTAGTCTTCGTAGATTGTTTTTGCATCTATCCCCTGAATAGTTCGAATTTTGATATAGCTCCTATTAAATTCATCAGTCATGTTTAACAGTTTGTTTGAAAAATGAAATGAGTTGAAATCGAACGATCTTTCACCTATATATACTATCGGAATGTAATATTCTCGAACGTGACGTCATAGAACGTTACACGAGAGGCAAATAAACAACATAGAATATTCCAGAATGTATCCGAACATTCCACAAGGATCTGTTAGATATTGGTATAGCCACTATATTATAGATTTTCTCCAAAATGACTGTTAGAATTAAATCCAATATAAGACTAATATATGCAGCAGTGGCGGCGGAGCCATTGAGATCCATGAGGCTTGAGCCTCACCTAGATTTCACAAGATGAGGCTCAGCCTCACTTACTTTTGTACTGAATATTGCTATTTTTTTATTCTTGCATCAAAGCAGGAGCAAAAAGTCTTTTTTGGTATTTTCCAATCATAATTTTTATACTGACCATTTTTATTTTTACTGCAGTTCAATAAAAAGAAGACTTATTTTCTGCCTGATGCGTTCATAAAATTAAGTTCTGACCACGAGATCTTTAGTTCGACAAAATTCATAGTTTTGAAAGTTTTATTGCGCGAATATATATAGTAATATGCCTGCTCTATGATACTGCATATCAGGGGTGGGGGAGCGTCATTAAGTTAGGTGAGGCTCATAATATGTTTTTTCTACCGTGGAATTTTTGGTATACCCTAAGTATATAATTGGTTAGTATTCGATTGACATATATAGCGACCTCTATCACAGTTAGATGTGAATATGTTTTATTAATGAATTTTTGAATTTTTGAACATCATATCATTATTTAAACCACAAGATTGAATTATAATTAAAGATAAAATATTTATTTCTTATAAATATCAAATTAATGTCCAATCCTATGACAATCTATGACTCATGTGTGCATTGATTTGTTACTTTTCTTCATTCTGTTGACAACATTTGCCATGCACTCCTCTCATTCTCGATTGAGCGAGTTTTTTTCTTCTTATATTCTATTCTTTGTATAACATAGCCTCTCACTTATTCATTCTATTTCATTTAACCTTACTATTCGCTTTCTAAACACGTAATGTATTCATATGAAGACGCTCCTCCACCATATCCTGGCTTAACAACACCAAGCGGTCCCTCAAATGTAGTGACATCCAAAGGTGCTTACAAAGGTGTACCAGTATATGAAATAGCTTCAAATGATGCTCCCAATTGTAAGTGTTTTAAGAATTGTGTGCGTGTGTTGACTGGTAGCTTAGAATAAAAATAACCTTTAGATAGTCAAGCATCGTATCAACAAGTACCGGTATCACCGAGTGGAACAATTCTAGTTCGCACGCATTCTGTTCATGTTGGCCGCAATCCAATTAATTGTGTTTGTCCTCAATGCCATCAGCAAATTATGACACGAGTCGATTATGTATGCATGAATAAGATGGCAAAAATGTTTTCATTCAATATTTTTATCTATTTAGGATTCTGGTTCATTTGCATGGCTCATGTGTTTATTACTCACGGTTATAGGGTAAAAAGAAAGATTTTTATTTGTTTTCTTTCGATAGTTTATTTTCTTTTAGTTGTATTCCATGCTGTGTAATTCCATTTTGTGCAATATCATGCCAAGATGTTACTCACATATGTCCTCATTGTTCCGCTATAATTGGTCGTCGAAAAATTCTTTGAATTTCCTTTTGTTTTTTTTCCTATCTGCATTAGAACTTATTCATTGCGTTTTTGAAAATGTATATTTGTGGATATTTCCCACTAATCGTGCTCTTTTGTTTTCACTTCGTCTTATGCTTATTGAAATATGATTGTTTACTTCTGCCTCTTGTTTTTGTTTTTAACTAGTCACTTTGTTCCTTGCATATATTGAATTTCATCTAGTTAATAAATTATAAAAAATAAAACAAGATCTGTCCAATGATATTTTCATTTTATTGTTCAGATTTGAAATTTTCGGAAAAAGAAACAATTCCATTTAGTTATTTGTAGATTTTGGCTTTGAAAACTTGATGTCTTCGCGTACCAGTGATTCTTCGGTAGCATCAACATTCACAATGAAAAAGTCATCATTACAACCTGATGTAAGATTGAACATTTTTATAAAAATAATTTATTTCTAATCTAAGTTTCATATTCAAAGGATTTAAGAGATCGTACGGAAGAATTAAAGCAATCTTTAGCAATATGGCGAAATATCTTACTACCTTTAAACAAATTACTTGAATGGGAAAATAAATATGATCCATTCATTATTTTTGGTATTATTACTTTTATTTTCATGTAAGATTATTTTTTAATTTTTGCTGAAACAAACATATTTTATTATTGCTAAATAATAGTTTTATACTTCAAGCAAATCCACCTGTATTAACGCTTGTTAGTTGTGTTATTCTGGCCTTTGTTCTTATTGATTTGCTTGTACCAATCGGAATTCGAATGCTTTTTAAAAATGAACATTGGTCAGTTATTAAATAATCATCATCCATCTAACTATTCATCATCTATCTATATTTATTGTAGGACATCAGTTAAAGATGCTAAATATACTCGATTATGCGAACGAATCGCTAATTTCGAACAACATATTAAACAATTATGTGAATCAGCTTTAAAAATGCGTAAAGAACGACCACTTATGGTAATATATTAATACAAGGATTTTAATTTGGTTCCGATTTAATTCTTATTTTAGTATTTAATGTTGGGTGCAATTTTGCTTTCGTTTATTGCATTTTGCGGTCAACGTGTTGATAATCTTCTTCTTAGTTACTTAACAAGTAATTTATTTTTGTTTTTCTCGACAGCTAGAACAATATTGATATTAATTCTTTTAGCTCTTTTAATCTGTCTCATACCCGGTATTCGTAATCGTCAATTGATTCCATTCATTCGTCAGCAGATTGTCGATTTTTGGAATAATAAGAAGTCAACAGCATCGTCAATACAAAACGTATCTATTTTAAATGTAACTCCAACCATTTCATCAGTTAAAGCATCAACAGTTGTTCGTTCATCGTCAAATCAACCAACATATACACTTTATTCAACGACATCGCATGGAAATAACAAAACAAAAGCTCAATAATTGAAATAATTATACGACAAATATTTGAAACTATTTTCTCATACGTTTTTTTTTTACCTTCTCAAGCCTGTACAAAATCACTGAAAGTGTATAGACTATATCTCGGATATATATATATATATATCAAAATCTTGAAAAGACAAAAATAAAACCAATTATTTGTACTTTCATGAAGATCATATCATTAAACATTATTGATAGACGTTCGTTCCTTTTTTCCTAATGAATAAAATGCATAACAGAAAATATTCTCTTTTGGTTTTTGATTTCGAAACAAAATTATATTAAACATCAAAAAGAATAAACTGCATGTCTGTAATTGAAATAATATTGATTACATTTTAGATATATTTTATCGGTCGTTTTTTAAATAACTATTTAATAAATATGTCATATTTAGGTAATAAAACGAAAATATTAATAATATTTATGTTTACACGATTTGAAATCTTCTGGTAAGTCTGATATTTTTTATTATCATATAATTTATCATAGATTACTGGTTGTGTTTTAAATTAGAACTAATGCCAATAAGCCTCTTGTGGTAAATAATCATTTGATGAGAATCATATTAGTCTAATAGGAAGTACATATCTCGTACATACGAATAACAATAAAAAGTCTAGAGCATGAATTTCAATAAAAGTCAATACTTGATTAATTATGTTCGGAATTTTCTGATGATTGATTAGAAAGATCTCATTTTAAAATTCGTGTCGGTACTAATGCGACTTCTTATAAAGTTTCATAATTATTCATGTCATATATTAACATTTAATAATCCACTATAATTATTTTTTTTGATTCTGAAGTATTAATATGTATTATGAAACTCTGTGACACATTATATGTTTGTTCTTTTATTGTTACAACATTAAATTATCTCAAAATAAATCAGTTATTATCTCTCCTTGACATATTATTATTTTTTACGTTATTATTTTGATCTATTTATTTATATAAGTTCCTTTTTTGCGATTAAAATTCATTGTTTTCTAATAAAAACTGAAATCAATGTTATTTCCTCCTATGTAATAATACCCAATATAAAATCAACATCATTATTTTCTATTGGTTACAATGCTTTATTCTATACTGCATAATTGTTATTTATTTTTACTATAATACAAACATTGAGGACTTTGCTAATGATTTTTTTAAATTGTATTTATTTTTCCCGAATCTTAATCACTTACAGTGAACTAATAATGACAAAAAGATGAGAAATCATTTTTTGCTGGGTATATTTTTATTAAATAGTTAAGGTATACTATGAAATAATTATCAAACATTTGGTATTCGAAAAAACAAATTTCCCTTTTTTTTTGGATACTTCAATAGAAACTATCATTACAAAGAAGAATAAAGTTTAATAAAATCAAAAAATTCACTAAACAACGACTAGCTCGAACGAATTTTAAAATGATGAATAGTAGTAAATTTACTCAGCGGATATTTTTCATTACGTTAAACGAATAAACTGTGAGATTGTTTTTATTCTTTGTATCAATGGCAGAGAAAACAAATTGCAAGACGGTAGAAAAGAATTAAATTATTTTTCTTAAATTGATTCATTGAAAAGTTTTAACGATCATCCTGTGATAAATATTCTCTATGATTCAATGAAAAATCTTATAAGAAAATTTATGTTTCTATACATCTTTATGTCTATTCATAGCGAGACAAACAGAATAAGCGATCAGGAAATATATTGAATTTGGGCGAAGACAATGGGATTTATATTTATCGATATTCAGCTCACATGTAGAGCAATTCAAAAATTCTCGTAGACTTCTCAACATTTTATCCACAATAATGAATGATACGGAAGAATGTCATGTTTTACTTCATGAAGGAAACGTAATTAAACGTCAATGCAACATTAGTAAATTTCTATTATTGTTGTGCACTAGAATTTTATTATATAGCGATTATTCACAATAGAGTCAAAGATGTTTTGATATTAATTTATTCTTCTCTTTCATCAATCAATTTGACTTAAATAAACAAATGAATGTTTACTATAGCACTTGTGATACTATACTATTACTATTGTATGAAAACAGTCGTAATCTTTTCAAATTGTACAAAAAACTAGATCATAAAAACTAGCATGAATAATTAGGAGATAGAGAATCATAAAACCTTCTCATAAAATAGGTTTGACATGTTTTGTTGATCCATGTACTTCTAAATTTTCAAGTAGAATTTCGCTATTTAAAAAAATCAAACATTTCATAAAACGATAATATTTGATCCGATTTACTGTTACTAATTTATTTTTGAATTTGCGTGCAATAGAACTAAAATAAAGAAAATTTCACTTTCCTTAACCTATCAAACATTTTCGCCAACGCATTATCAATTGAATTGTTGTTTTTGACAATTCTCGTATTTCATGACGTCAATAACGATTATGACAAATGCTGGTGACCATGATTCATCTTTAAAGACTGATGCTTATCATAGATTTCGTATTAAAGTTTATCATGAAAAATAATAGACATTTTACTGAAGGCTTTTTTTTCTTCTATTTGTTTCAGAATATCAATTATCGATTCTTTTTTGGATGATTTTCGTAAATCCTTGGCTTAGTCTCAACTCATTTTGATTTGTATCAATAAATGACTTGCAAGAATAAGAACCTGCATGACTATTTTCTAATTTTTGTCAAAATCATATAACCATTCTATCACATAGTGCATCATATCATTAGGTCTCTTGAATTTGAATTCTGTGTACGTCTTTGGATTTTGTTGTATTACAGACTGTATTGTACTTTTATTTTTAAAATTATTTTAGCTATTTTCTATAGCATAAAACAGCATACAGAACAACAGTACGAATATCATAAATACTGAACCAGATGTAAAATGATACAAATCATCAAATACTTTCAAGAACAACACATCAACATTGATGACTGCTTTTACGTTATCTTGCTTTCATGTATACCTATTCAGTATACTGTATTTTTTTTATGAAATATGACAAAATAGGCAACATGATTTATATTTCATCTTTATTACAATAAAATAGATTTTTAACAGAAGATATAAATTTAAATCTATTTGTGTGTGTTCAAATGTTTATTTATTTTCTTTAATAATTTTCTAAAAATTATTATGATTCTTGTGAATTTTAATCTATATATAGAAATAAAATATTGTCAATGAATTTTGAAAGTATTCAGCGCGATTATCTTAGTATTAAATATTTATTTTGTTTTATAGAAAACAAGAAATTATGCCGAAAATTCGACGAAAACGCCGAACTACAACAAGCAATCAACTCAATCGACCAAAAAAGGTCTTAGCAATGTCAGCAACACCTGACGTAAGTTACAATTATATACATTCGCTTGATTCTTTATTTTCACAAAAAGATTACTTTTAATAAACGCTGAAAATAAGATGGCACTAAAAAGATTTCGATCCTATTCAAATTATTCTACATATTTGTGGAAAAAAATAGTTATTTCTATTTTTGCCACCGTTTTACACTGTTCGACATTTATGAGTGTCATTATATATTTGAATAAAATTCATTTTGCTCGCTTCGTATTGTTTATTCGTCAATTCTTTTTAGTTATGTTTTCCTTTCTTATGCACTTCGATCTTTTATTTTCTTTATATAGAGTCAACAAGGAAAAGCAATTTATTTTGACTTTGTTGCTCAACCCAATCTATGTATTAAATCAAAATCGACAGGCAAATTCATTCAGCTGTCAAAGCCACCGAAATCATTGAAAGTATCTGATGATTGGGATGTTAAACCAGGTGATGTATTTTCATGGAGTGAAGGTCGACCAACAGAAATTTTCTTGTAAGTTTATTTTAAAGCATAAACAAAGTTGTTTCCTTTAGAATGTATCTATGTTATTTTCCTTAGTGTTACATCAGAAGGAACACTTTTGAAGAATCCCGATACATCTGGTTCCGGTTATTTAACAATACCACTATCAATAACTTGTCAATTTTCGGATGCAATCGATTATTTCTCTTCTGTTCTGGATTCAATTGGTCGTAATTATGTATCATCTATTGAACTTGCACCAACTGATTTGTTTTTTCTGAAAAATTTCTCGAAACAGCAATTACCAATATCAATCAAGAATCGAACTGATGTAACATATTCATTTGACCCGAATGATGAAATCCTTTATGTTACAATTACATCAAATCCTAATCGAAGTCAACATTTCCCATTAGGCACAACTAAAACAGATGATATTCTTCAATGGTTATCAACAAGTGATGAAACAAAAGCTGAATTCATTGTTAAATATGATTTCGACGGCAAGAATACATGTACTAAGGTTCCTCGTGGTATTATTATCGGTTTACCAACTGGATGGCAATGTGAACAACACGGTTCAGTGATGTTTAGTGACAGTAAAATACAAGGAGAATGGAAATGTACAGGACCAGAGAAAACGAAAAACAATGCTCGCGAAGCAATCAATAAACATTATAAAGGGCTTAATATTGAAATTAAATAATTAAATGATTTTTATTGTAGATTAAAAAAGAATAAAAAAAAGAGAAATAGAAGATAATTTTCAACCATGGCTTCAGCGAGTATAAGTAATGGACAGCCAGCACGATATTTCGATTTAGTCAATCAACCAGAAACATTAAAACTAAGAAATGGTCTTTCAATACCTGCTTCTGAATTGAAAGATTTTTCAGAAAAACGAAGTTCTGTACCAATTGAGTGGGATGTTAACTTTGGTGATGTGATCGATTGGTCAAGTGATCGTCCAACAGAAGCTTATTTTGTTCTAGAAGATAGAACTTTGTTGAAAAATCCAGATAGAAGTGGATCAGGTTATTTAACTATTCCATTTGATGTTGCGAGTAAAACATTTTTCAATTTATAAATTGTTTTGATGCGTTGACTTCTCTTAGACACTACTCGGAATGTATTACTTGAATATAAAAATGTAATTGAAAGTATTGGAAAAGATAATGTTTCAACCATTGAAATACATCCACAAGATATATTTATCAAAGAAAATTGGGGTGAACTTCCGCATGAAATACTATCATCTAATGTTCAATTCACGTATGATCCACGCGAAGAATTTCTTCATGTTAGTCTGCCACAGATATCAAAATCAAAAGAATTTAAATTAGGCTCAACAACTATGAACAATATTCAAATATGGTTTACAAGGTAAAAAGAAAATCATATTGGAAAATTTCAGTTCTTTTATTCGTTAATTCATACATCTTTTAATCATAGTACGTTGATAGAACAAGCTTCTTTCCGAGTGAAATACAATTTCTTTGGTCCGCTATTTCAAAAATATCATCAATTGTACAAATTGCATATGCTAAATTTTTCACTGCCACAAACTTGGTCAGTAGCACCTGGTACAACAGATATTGGTCATGATCATTGTCATGGTGAATGGATTTTTCAAGGTTAGTTGATATCTTTACTTTCTTAAAAACAAGTTTTAATTAAATCCCACATCTTTTAAGGTGATCGCCAACATTTAAAAGAAGCTAAACGAAATGTTCACGATTTTTATAAAGATCTTCCGGTAATAATTGAAGAGATACATGAAAATTAAATCTCTAATGTTCAAATGACTGATCAGATAGAATAAAAAAAATGATTATTCCTGATAAAATCTCCATGATATTGTTTCTCGAAAGTTTTTATTCATTTTTTCACACATAAATTTTTCTAATATTTCATATCTGTTTCCAATTTATAACAAACAATAAAAAACTTGAAACAAAAAAAACAAGAAAATTGCACTATAATTGATTTATTTTTTAAAAACTTTTTTTTTCGAAAAAAATAAAAAAAGATAATTCTGAAAAACCATTGATATCTGATTTCATGATTCGAAATTGGCATATTGTCGAACTCATTTGTGAATTATTACACAATAGCAGTTGAAGCCAATAATGAGATTGCATAATCTCGCGTGCTTATCAAACAATGATTCATTTCACTTTTAGTATAAATTTCAGTCATCGATGAGTATATATATCACTCATTCTACTCTATCTGTTTGGCTACTTCACTGGTGGAGGTGTTGCTGGAGGATCACATACTATTTCTTCAAGTCCCCGTGCACGATCCAAATCTTCGCTCATTACATTCAACATGATTGAAGCTTCCATTTAACCATGAACAAAATTTTTGCAAGTGACCAAATATCTATCAATGCACGATTTATATAGACACTCGAGTAGCAACTTTTTCTTCTGTTCTTTCGTTCTTGCACAATGTGTAGGAAGATGTGCCTGATATATGTCGCCCTCTTCGTTCCGATGACTCAATTCACATCCGAGAGCTCAGCAAAGTGAATCAGATTTTATTCTGGAAATAGCATATTCAACAGAAAAATTTACGTGCGCGTTACAATCTCTACACACCGACAAAACGAAACATAAAATAACTAACATTGTATATAGCAACTGTTATTGCATCAGCAGTGTTTATTGTTACATAATATTTCAATAGATAGAAAATTTTTAAATTTATTTTTACAAAACAAGTCAAAAAATAAAAGGAAAGATTTGATTTTTTGTTCGTTGATCATGATATTGTTGTGGATAGTACAGATAGTTGTTGGTTGGATTCTGCAGAGCATCTGTATTAGTTTGATGATGACAATGACAATGGCAACATTCGAACGACGTTGGAATTGTATGCCATGCAGTTACATCGAAATTGGATATGTTCATTTGATCGTTCGGTATTGANTAAAAAGTTTCGCCTGTTTTTTTTAGTGTAGCCATAAGTTTATAGTGACGAATCGAAAGAAAGAAAATTAAAAGAGATTATCAATATTCAATAACACTTCTCTGTGTATGTACGTATCTAATTAGTCAAGAAAGAGATAAGTTAGCTATGGGCGATAGAAGAGGATGAGTAAAAAAGAAAACTAATCACTTGACACATGAGTGGTCTTTCTTTCTTTTTTTCTGTAACAGATATTTCTCGTCGATCCCTATATAACTAACAATCGAAGTATTCTTTCTCTCATAACATAAAATGTCCAAATCGCTAAGACAAGTAAGTTCATCATCATTCTACAGTACCTATCTGATCTGAAACATTCTTTATCATCATAGAAAATTGCTCATGCTATTAATTCTATTCTATCAACATCATCATCACACAATAATTCGAATTCAAGTTAGTAATTTCTTGTTTTGCTTTTCTTCATATCGTTTGATAATCTGCAACTATCTGTTGTTTTTTTTCTTCAGAAATATCATCTTGTTGTTCAGTATCGAAACCAAAAGATTATGAATATATTTCATATGAATCAAAAGTAGCATCATCAAAAAGTGATTATGTAAGTATATATATATATATACATTTGCATATTTCAATGAAATACTATTAAAATCTGCCTAGGTCGATTTAAGTGAATGTCATTCATGGTCTTTGTCTTGCTCGAAAGATTCAGGAATTTCTTTCGGTACAAACATATCATCAATCAGTACATCCAATGAAAATTTTCATCAGTTTCAATCAACACGCATACTTTCAGATGATTCAAATTCTCGTTTAAATCTATCTGATTTAAGTTCAATACCGAACGATCAAATGAACATATCCAATTTCGATGTAACTGCATGGCATACAATTCCAACGTCGTTCGAATGTTGCCATTGTCATTGTCATCATCAAACTAATACAGATGCTCTGCAAAATCCAACCAACAACTATCTGTACTATCCACAACAATATCATGATCAGCGAACAAAAAATCAAATCTTTCCTTTTATTTTTTAATTTGAAATAAATTTTTCTTTACTCTACTGGCGGTAAATGATTTTGTTTTGCTTGTATCTAATTATCAATTGATAGAATTTGATTGCAATGTGAAAAAAAGATGAGTCAGAATATTGTTCTGCGGATCGAATGTAATCTAAAATCCTTTTTTTGTAAACGTCGATTTCCTGTTTCTGAATGGACTCTACAAGATTTTCGTTTGTATATCCAACAATTATTCGATATAAAAAAGGAAAATTTGATCATATTATTACATTCAGAAGAATTAAGTCAAAATCAAGATAGTAGCTTGTTGTGTGATATCGAAAATTTGTATGAAAATGATACAATTATAATTGATTCATATTGCCATGCGGACGACATAGATAATGTTAATAGATTACCAGAGAAATACCAAATGTCAGATAAAATTTATTCACAACGAAAAGGTACATTGAAAGAGTATCTTCAACAAAACAAAATTGGAAAATATGGTGATCACAATGCGTTCTCACACACAGTATTCAACAATAATAAACAAAATGTACTGAAATTATATGAAATGAATCGTAAAAAAATGGAAGAACTATACATAGGAATGCATGTAAAAGTGAATGAACCAATGTTGAATATAAGATATGGAGAGATTGTTTATATTGGTATGTTACGGGGAATTTTCGATGAATTTATTGGTGTTCTCTTTGATGGTCCATGTGGTGATTCAAATGGATCTGATGGTATTATTCAATACTTTGATGCTAGAAGAAGACATGCTAGTTTTATTCGACCAGAATATATCGAGATCATAACTATAGAAGAAACGATGAAATCATGATAAGACACACAACAAGTTTAATACGTTGATGGAGGATTGAATTTAAAGATTAAATTTCTAACAAAAATATTTATTGTTTCGTCTAGTGAAAGTTCTGTTTTTTTCCATGAAATGTAATATTTAAATGACTAACTATACTAGAATACATTTGTTTGTATGATTGAATAAAGAAATGCTGTTCAAGTTTATCACTTTAGGACAAAGTAGAAAGTCATATTTTTCAATGTTACCTTCATTGTTTTAGATGAGAATAGCTGATGTCCATTGATTTTAATGATTACTTTGCATATTCTACGTTAGATTTATTAGATAACTAGTTATAAAAGAATGAAATATTTCTCTTCAAAAACATAGTTGCTTTCAGGATGTATTGTTTTCCTTGGTAAAAATTGATTAGTGAAACATTCTATAAGATCAAATGCAATTTTGGTTAGTCTCGCACTGAATCATACTATTGTATTCTTGAAGAATTTTACTGCCACATAAAGTTTTCCATCAGCTTAAATTGATCTCTTACAACTATAGGACTACATTTCATAAGACAAGAAATGTGAAGTTATTTGTAAAGTTTTTATTTCATTTTACAATATCAGAAACTCTATTTTCTTTCGTAGGATTTAAATATTGTAGAGATTTTTCTATTTCTAACTGCATATCAAAAGATTTTTTCAAAGGATAGATGATTTTAGATCACCCGGATATACGTAGATAAAAACGATATTACAGGGCTCCCGATCAAATATTACATGAAACAAATGAAAAATGCATCTAATCAGATTGCTACTACTGGTTTCTATGTTAAAAAGTAGATAGCGAAACTTGCAGTATGTTCCTAAAATGTTTTACGGACGTTTAATCTATATATAAAACTTCAGGACTATGGTCTGAAATATGAAATTAGATAAGGATCAGAAAATTTAATAATGAGTACTAAGAAATACATGAAAGATACTCAATGTAAATGTTTTCGTCGAAATATCATAATGGTTGCTGGTTGTAATTCATGATGTGTATGTTGAGTGCAATATTTTCTGAGAGAAACACATAGTTTATCATAATAGAGAAAACAAGATAAATTTAATGTATCTAATAAAACTAGCAAACTGAATACTAAAAGGAGTAGGATAACTTTCTCAAGGAGATTGCCACTATCTTATTTCGTTCGATCATTATTCTCCTATTGATATAGTTAATGCATAAGATTCGTCAACAATTGAACATCTGTATTTATCAATTGTTGCTTAGTGTTGCAGTATTAATGTGAAATATTGTTTTTCTACGTTTACGTTTCTTTCAAATTTTAACCTATAGTCATCATCACCATCTCGTTCTTATTAACATCTGACTAAACATATCGTGTATCCTTCAAATAGATTTAAGAAATTTTGAGACCATGATCATTCACTTGATATTGTTTTGATCATGTTTGTTTTTTCCATTGTAATTAATAGTTGTTGCTGTCTTTATTTGATTTAATATACGCATTGATTCTCATACATATCACTGATATGAAAAATCTTAATTTTACCCAAAATAAAAATTGAAATCAATCATTTGGATGAATCATCGTAGAACTATTTGAACTATTTTCGGAAGTCGCTATATATGATGACATCATTTTGGTAACGATATCACGCATCAACTAGTCGATAAAACAGAGTAATTATGAATAGGTTAAGTTTCAAAATAATCTATAGACTCACCTTACATGAATGATTTTAGAAATAATATGTAAATTATATGATATATTTTAATTATATGTAGGTGATGATAGTTTAGATTCATTAGCATGGTGACCATTTTTTAAAAAGTATGTTGAATAAAATGTTTAAAGAATTTTTATTCGAACATTCAGTAAAGCAATAGCTGATATTTTAAAAGGATAATTTCTATTGGTAAATATTGATAGTTGCTTCGATGAATTTCGTTGGCATCAACACTGAGCTCACAAGTTGTTACGAAAATTAATGTTGTGGTAAGTATTTGAAAGGAAAACCTTCCTTTGTTTTTACCTGTATTGTACCTACATGAATCTGAAACAATAAAAAAACATACAGAATATTTGTTTGTTTAAAGTTGAAAACGTATCAATGAAGATCCAAACAGGTAATCGATGTCTTCTATAAGATTAATCTATTCATTTTGATCATCGTTGTTATTTAGATGGAATTTAACATCATATGTTTCTATTATTACTATTTTATTAACGTAAAAAATATTTTCTAAATAATGCATATATGTATCATACATGTCTAACTAGATAGTTGATTAGTGTATATTTGTACAGGTTTCTTAATAAAATAACTTATTTAAATTGAGAGACGCACGTCTCATTTTCTTGCCCAATCGAATACTACTTCTCTTTAACAGATAGTGAATGGTGTATAAGAATTAAAATTTTGACACAACTGCAATTGATTACATATCAGCTTTTATTATTTTCGATATAATGGTTGAATCATTATAAAAACAAGCAAAAAAAACCGATTGTCATATACATGATTTATTTTAACAACGGTTCAAAAAGAAAAGTCCAGATTTGCTATAGCAGTTTTATGCATAAGCAAACGTTGATTGATTTTAATATCTTTGTAGAAAAAATCTATATGCATCGGGAATACCATAATTGTATGGTGTAGAATAATAATACATAAAATCTTGACCTGGAAAACCACCAGGATAATGTGTGTTAGCAGTGCCAATAGCTTGTTGTGTTCGACTATTTAGTATCATTGCAAGTGTGGGATCAGCATAGTTTCGTGCTGATGGTAGAGTTCGATTATTTACTTCATTGAAACCCTCACGACCAGATGTAGGATGAAACATTCGAAGCAGTGGAGGTCTTTCTAGAGATTGATTAGGCGTGTCCGGAAAATTATTGTGGCTACTCATCTTGGACCAAAAAAGCAGACTCTTATTTTGATGAAAAAAACTGATTATTCTAGTGAGTAGCTTTTTTTTTGTATAGTCAGAAATTATTTTCATGCTTGATTACACATGAGAAAAATAGAAAAAGCTATCAACAAATGCGTCGTTTATCATCTATTCGATGACTCATACTCGTAATGATTCATAGTCATTTAAAGTCTAACTAAATAAAATATAAGTATCTGAAATCTTGTATTATTATCAAAATCGATGTCTGTCATTTTCTATTCACTCATCGATAAAATTCTAACAAAATCAAAATTTCCTTCTCGTATTTGTCAAGATTTTTCTTTGGAATAATGTTACTAATCATCCAAAGGCTTTTATTTTTTTTGGCATTTTTCATTAAACACTAATTTTATTTTCTCATCTAGTATTTATTTTAATCAATATATCATGTTTTAATTCTGCTCAATACAGTGTCCTTTTGTTTAGGGACATTTTAATAGTGCCCCTATAAGAATTTATGGTTTTTGGGTTTCCATAGGTAACTAATATGACTTATATCAAGTGGTGATTTATCTTTCAGGTTTATTGTCATTACTCGAACAGTTTACATTTAATATCAACATTTTGTCATCCAGATACTTCCCAATAGATGTAAGTTGGTCACATAATAGTAAAGTTATATGTGCTTGTGGATAAAAAAATCGCTCGTTTCTCCTTTTAAAAACCAACACCACATCACTCAATATGAGAATTTTCCATTCAATATTTAGGAACTTTACAGTTCTATTTCGGAAAAGAATGACTGTTATTTTGAATTCAACATTTACGACCGAATTTCTTAAAAAAAGAAACATTTCATTTCTCTACGAAAAGTCAACACAGAAATATAGATTTATTTTTGTAGAATTCGGTATACATATGATTCATATTACGTTTACTTGCATTACTTTATTTTACTATGTAAGAATTATACGCTAATTGTTCTCTTTAATAATGATTTTGATTAGATATTCGAATATAATAGCGAAGAATTGACTCGATCAAAATGTTTTTCTTTTCATAGTTAAAATCATTCGATACAAATTACATCAATTCCATAATGTTCGTACATATTTCCTTATGAACTTGTAGAAAAGATCTATTTGCTTTATGAATATTTATGAAAAATTATAAAAAGCTTTTTTTTTTATAGAAATCTTCCTGCATTATCTTTTTAATTTCGTTTCGTTATTATATTATTCTAAATGATAGAATGAACCAAATAATATTTCTTTACATCAATTCTCGTCTTCTGAATTTAATCTCGCATATAATAGTTTATTATACATAAGAGAAACTTCCAGAATATGTTCTCAATGATAATGAAAAACAATTTTCAAAATTATCTATTCTGTTTGAAAACATATGTGATCTAAAAGTTTATAATTATAGATTGTTAAAAACACATTTATTCTACTACTGTGATATGTTTTACTTCGATTTGTAAAACATAGAAGAAGTATACAATGCCATTTATATGATTAAAAACCACAGTTTCTTTCAGTAAAATCTATAAATGTTGTCGTATCAGCACATCAAAATATAAAAATCAGTTGAAATTATGAATCTGCAAGCAAACGAAAAAATCGTCTCATTCAAACTTACGAACTAAAATGTTAGTTTCAAGACAGAGAACTAGTAAGTATTCTCTCAGTTGAAAAAAATGTTTTAATCCTTAATACTTATGATATTCTCTAGTTATAGATAAAATGTGAATCAAAACGCCTATGAGAATTCTAATTTTTTTCGTAAGTTTCATTGAAATTCATACTATTTCAATTGTTTGCATCATTTAATAGTTGGAAGATTTTTTTCTTAAATCAAAATCATACCAACAACGGCAAAGAAAGATGAAGGTTTTTTTCTCTCTTTTCTCTGACATTATTTTGTATGTATATGATTCATCGCTTTTATTACCTTCACATTCCATGAATCTTTGTTCTATGCTTGTACAAGGTTTTCTCCCACTGTTCTCAATAGCAATGAATTATTAGATCACGAGCAGGATTGTCTGACTCCTGTCTCATTGGTTGCCTGCACACAGTGACTCACGAAACACGTCTATTAACAACATGTTTGAATTGTATTGGAATAATGCCAAGTTCTCATTGTCGTTCTCTTTTCATGAACGTCATTGCGAAATTACATGTACGAAGCATACTCCTTCGTATTCTTATGCAATTCTATAGTAAGCACGTCTCTGGTTATAAATAGTGCATGCTTCTTTCATTTGGTTTTCATTTTTATTCAGAGCAACTTCATACACGCAGTACATATTCTTTATCATATATTAACCTAATTTTTCAACGTGCATCAACAATCGATCTTCATTTCACATTTTACTCTTAACATGGTTCATAACGCTATTGGGTCAATCATTGAAACAGTCCATCAGTCTTTAGAAAAGTCTTATAAAAAACTTTCTAGCCCTCAACAATTCACGAATATATCATTACAAAATAAAACTGGCATAAAACCACTCATGGCTCAACCCTATGAAGTTGTTAATGTTACCAATGGTAATAACGGTGGTACACAAGTTATTATTAAACCACCTGATAAACCAAATGGTTGAAATTTACAACTATCGCTAATACAAAACATGTATTAACTTGGATTCAATATTATAAAAACAAAATTTCTTGAAGTAAATAATAGAAGAATGTATCATTCAACAGTAAAACTTAGTATGTATAAAATTAATCTGGTAGATTCACTTCTATTTTTCTTACTTTCTTTTTAACTATATTAGTGATCATTCAATATAGTTATTTATTTCACAATAACAATATCGTCGTTGTTGTGCTGTTATTTCAAACGAATTAAACCTGTCGTCAATTACATATTATATATGTTTATGCGTTTATAATTAAAACCAATTATCAACAAGAACAGACGCATTTTGCTCGGCAGTTTTCGTTTTTTATGGTCGTTCTATTTCTACTGTTAAGTTTGAAATTTTTGAATAAAAGATCTTTTTTGTTGTATCATTCTGGACTCCAGTATATTAAATAAATCAAATAATTATAATATAAAGTTTGACTAAAACAAAACAAAAATCTTTAATTTTCAATTAGTTTTTTAAGTTTGTCGATTGAATCATGATCAAGCGAAGGCCAGTGTAACACTTGTTGATCTTCTTTCACATGTTTTTCATCGGTAGTACCAGTTAATGGAGTCAAACCGATATATATTAAAAAACGAAAGAATACTTGAGCCAATGTACCTTGACGTGCTTCTGCAAGTTGTTGTAGTAGTGGATGTTCAAGAATCTGCGGATTAGCTAATAGAAATTTAAACAAAAAATCCTTATCAATTACATTAATTCTAATTATCAACATTGATTTTCATACCAGTTAGTGTCCAAAAACTTTGATAATAGATATTCTTTTCACGACAAAATCGTGTTATCTCACCATCAAAATTAGTTTCAGCATAAAAACGATTTTGTATAACACAAGGCTTATGTCGAGCATCATCATATAGCTTTTTAAGTCATTCAGACTATATAAATTACTAATACCTAATTTGTTTAATTCGACCCTGATCAACAAAGTTTTCAAATTCACGATATACTTCCATTGTAAGTTCATGTGATTGTAGTGGACTATGAAGAACTAATGAATCAATATAATCAGTACGTAAATTTTTAAGTGGCGTAGCTAATGATTGTCAAACTCGTTCAGCTAATGATGAACGAGCATTATAAGGCAACGGTTTTGATTGATCTTGTCCATTAATACTGGTAAATTTTGTTTGAATAAATAAATCTTTACGAAGTATATTATATTTAGTTTGAAGTTCAACAAGAGCTTGACCAACAAGATCTTCACTGAAATTCAAAAGAAAAATTGATTTATTTCCACTTATAATAAATATTTACTTGCGTATATACTACGTATAGTGTTTTGGTTGATATGCTGTATCAATACCACGAAATCCGTTCAATATAGTTTTTATAACGAGTTGTATTGTTGCTTCTTTCTTCCAAGCTGTACCATAGATTAACCGAGGCATTTGAACAGCAGCATTTGTTGTTATTGTTGTCACTGAGATAATTTCAATCTTCTTGTGTTGAAGTAAAATTACAACGGATTCAGTTCAGTGACAGCCTAGGTTATCATTGGCACGATATCTTAACCTTGTCGATGTTTTTCACATATTTCAAGTGAAAATAAAATATTTCCATGTTTGAAATCTATTGAAAACAAAACTTTTTTTTTCTCTGGCATGTATTCATTTCAATAGTATACAATATCTTCAATTGAAACTATCGTTAACAAGCCAACGCCATCTGTAGGTTATGTGTTAAACCAAAAAAGAAATAAGCATATTTTGATAGATTACAATCGGAAGGCAAAACAAAAGCGAATGCAAATCTAACTATCGATCAAATTTTCATTGAAACTTAAAAGATACAACTCTTCCAGTACTACCACATCCTTTTATTGTAGTTACTAAAATAATGTAGCTAAACGAAACGCGAGTGTTTCGATTTCATTGAAAACAAAATAAAAAGAACTTGAATAATTATGTTTTTTTCGACTCTAATTTCAAGTTCTTCGAATAAAAATAAATTATCATTTTAAGACGAATACATTTTGTATTTAATGATTGATCAGCATATAGTTTGTTCTCTTTCAGTTACACTTCTTTAAAAAAAATAGACATATCTTATCTGTTTATGAAATAAACATAACATAACAAAAAACGATGGTAAAGAAGAAAAGTCTTATTGATATCATAACGAACTAACTGTAAGATGCATCGAATATACATTTACTCATCAATCATTTTCCAGTCGTATTGTCTAATTCTCCGTGTATACTTCTTATCAGTTCTTATACTCTCCTTGTTCATCCATACTATAGTTATCGTTCATAGAATACAATATACATAAATACACCTCATTTTAAGACAAAGAATAAAATCCTATTTAAATTCACACAACTGCAAACATATTTGAAATAGAAAACAACATTCATCAGTAGTTGATCGTATCATGAAAAGGATATGAAGGTAAGACTTTTGAATTGAACGAATTTTTACGAAATCTGATCATCACCATATAGTGCACAAATTACAACATATCTTCAAACAAAGATAACCTATTTCAAACTAATTAGATCCACATTTTCTTACTTCTTCAATCGCTAAACAAAAATCATTCTGATAATAAAAAAAAGAATACTCCTCACATCTATTTTTACTTTTTGCTATTCTATCTAATGTTTCATCTCTATTGATATGATCTCATTTTTTTTCAAATTGCTCTTTAATGACCACTTCCTACTACTCGAAGTTGAAAAAAAACTACCCCAGGAGTTCTTTTCGTTTCAAAATGTATGAATCTATTCGATTGTTCAAATCCTATTCAAGACATCAGAGTTGAATACGATGAGAAGAAGTGGCTATTAGTCTAATATTTTTATATTGATACGCGTAATATTTATCTATGTAAAACAGCATGCTATATGTTAGCTCGAATGTCACAAATATGCATACATATTGACCGTAAAACACGGTCGGTGGTGATGATAATATTGTTATTTTTAGGTGAAATACATGCATATATAACAAATGTTTTTCTAGTTACGGTTAGATTAGATATCATCTTTCTTTTGAAAACGAAAAACTAAAAATATTGAAAACGAATATTAAGATTTTAAGATTAACTATTTAGCACTTGATCGTTGTTTCAATCACCACATGATTCTGATTGATGAATGTCGGCTTTTGCTCTGTTCATTTATCAATGATTGATCAGTAATATTAAAAAAGTTACAACGGTGTGCTAAAAACTATATAATTCTTTCCTTTTATGTTCAATGAAAGAAACAAAAGTATTGTTTTCAAAACTAAAATTCTACGCAATTGGGTAAAAATGTGATTTACATATGGAATTTGATTAAATTTGTGAGATCACATTTTTATTCTATTGTTGAATTATCTATTGAATCCAATTTTCCAACTACATTAATTGGCTTAACACAATAATTACAATCATCGATAAGTGTGATTTGATTACAGCTACTGAAACAAATAGTCGCATTTTATTCCTATTGGCTTATTTCTCTATCAGCAATCCAATAGAAAAACAAAAAAGATGAGAGAGAAAGAGACAGAGAGAGAGAGATAGCGAAATGGCACTACTTAATAAAAATCATTGTCGAATAAGTGATCTCATTCATTCGAAAGTGAACATTCAAATTTGAAGACAGTTTAACAACGAAACGAATTCATTCCATAAAAAAAGATGTCATCATTAGGAAGCTCAAATACTGGTTCGGTAAGTTGATAACAAATCACAAGTTGTTGAAAATTTTAATGATCATAATAAATTTGAAATACAATAATAATAATAAAACTTCTGTATTGTAGAATATCGTTCTCTCAAATATCGTCTCTTCAGCTTTGGGTCAATTGAATTGGGCTGAATTAGAACAAAAACAACCTAAACCTATTAAACCTATTCATGTTAAACGACCAATGAATGCTTTTATGGTTTGGGCACAAGCTGCACGAAAAAATTTAACAACTAATCTATCAGTTGTTAATAATGCACAATTAAGTAAAACATTAGGAAAATTGTGGAAGTAAGTTTTACAATTGAACAATTCTCTGAATTAATTACATTGATTGCAGATCATTACCACAAGAACAGCGTCGACCATTTATTGACGAAGCGGAACGTATTCGAGAACAGCATAAACGTGACTATCCTGAATATAGATATCAACCAAAACGTAAACTTAAAAGTAAGTTGAACTAGCAATAGAATACATTGTAATGTCGAAATTTTTGTGGTAGATGCTCGTTATCATCCGTATTCAACACCAAATACAAGTAAATCTTCATCGTCGCCATCATCTACATCAGCTAATGATATAAGTGTACAAAGTGATCATCATCCACCTATGACATCATCCCCGTGTTCATCGTCTATTGAAGAATCATCAACGAATCGGTCCTCGGTGATTCCATCATTTCAATCACAACAAATCTATGCACCAAAATATAGTCAAGATGATGACAATGATGAAAGTGGTTGTAGTTCAAAAGAGAATTTTGCTCCGTTACCTTACTATCCTGAATCAATATCAACGAATATTGAAAATACAAATGAATATGATACGATGACCAATGGTATTTATTCAAGTACAACAATGCAATCAAATGAACATTTTCCTTATTCGAGTGAGTTAGAAAATAAAAATATCAAAAATGATTTATAATTTATTCTATCTTTTTCAATTAAGATATGTACAACTCCTATTATCAGTCATTCCCTCATCATGTTGCTTCTGATTATGAAAATACTTCTCGCTTTAATGCAAACTATGGTTTGATCCCATACGATGCATCGTACATGACGTATCCTTCAACTTCGTTTGTTCCACATGCAACGACTAATTTCAATTATATAAATAACCATTAGACTTCTATTCAATGACTTTCGCTAAAAGATTCTATACTACTTGTTTTTGTTTTTTTTATAAATATGTCATGTAAAGAAAAATAAATTATAGAAAGAATAATATCAAAGATCGCAGTTCTTTTTCAGCAATGTCAACAGTGATGTTATCTTGTCAAGTTTGTTCTTGTTTCTTTGATAACACTAAGTAAGATTTAACCTATGTTAATACTGCAACATTGATAAAATGCTGTGCAAATTGTAATTGAAGTTTGCTAGTAAGTTTCAAACGAAATACTTCCGAAATATCAATTTCTTCTTGTATATGACCCATTAGCAAAAACATAAAATAAACTATGGAAAAAAATCTTTCTTTTTTTTCATTGCAAAGTTACCCATTGCTTTTTTTATACTGGTTTCCATTCAAAAATAAATTGTTTTACTTTTCTAAGTTCAGTTTGTATGCTCACGGTATTCTACTACGACACGTTTTATTAAATAGCATTTACCTTTGTTTTTGTGGATTAAATAACTTTGAATCTTGGGATAGAATGCTATTTCTTCTTCATATCTAGAGAAACCAAGACATCAAAAATGAGCATAGAAATCTTTTTCGCGCCCTTTCTTTTCAATTGATATTACTTTAATACGATAAGAAAAATTAAACAACTTTTTCTTTTGATAGAAACATACGCATCTTTATTAGTAATAAAAATAAAAACAATTCATAAGAGCACATCTGAGTGTTTTCTATTTTCATTCTTCTCTATCTCTAGTTATACAGTATGCACTCAAATACATGAAACACAACTCAGACAGGAAATAAGACGAAAAATGAATAAGAATACAGGATAGTCAAAAAAAAAGAAGACAAAAGATAAAGTGAATGGCACGCGCAGAAACTACCTTTCGTATTAACACAAGAGTAAGACAAGAAAACCGCAAAAAATATAAATGAAGAAAAATACTATACTAGGTACGTCTCACACGTTTATGTAGAATTCGATCGTTATAGAATGAAGAAAAAAACGAAGTCTTATAAGGTTTCAAAGAGATAAAAAGTCATAAGATGAATATGGCGATGTTGAAATTATATCAGTAGAATTGCTACCTAAATTGGATAAAGGTGTATCGATCCAGCCACTATTATCATAAGGGTGATCGAGGTCCATTAAATGACTACTCGATGAATCATGTAATATTTCATATGCTAGAAATGAAGAAAATTTATTGAATTTGAAATTTACGAAAACACAATTACATACCAGTTGTTTCATCTATAAGTGGTATTAATTCATGTTGATTACCAGGGATATTAAACATACTATTAGTATTTGAAAGATAATCGATTAATGTTGGTGATGATTCATCGAAAACGATTGATGATGATGATGATGATGATAATGGCGAAGGTGTCATTGGTAATAATGTTGGTGATGTTACAGCAATATCATCATGTTTATTTATAATTTGTATACGAACAGCACGACGTGATGACATTGGAGATGTATGTGTTCGAGGTGGAGGTGTCACAATAACAGGTTGAGGTTGATCGATAAGTTTTGAAAACCAACTACTATTAGCATCGAGTGATAACGACAACCATGACGACGATGATCCTGGTGGAGCAATAGCTTGACACATGGCTAACACAGATGATTGTACAAAATGAGGAGTAGCATCAGATGTTGATGCTAATGATAAAATTTGTTGTTGCTCTTGCATAAAATCTGATGATGATAATGGTGATGATGAATTCATGTTTGACGATTGTCGTTGAGCTAAATAAAATGAGAGGAAACGTCAATCGCTGCACATATATATATACACATGTCTTCTCTTTAATTGACACATACGAACAGGTAGATAATGATTCTTGGTTATTGTTCTATTAGAAATGGACGAGCGTTGTTTCGGTTTGAACTGATAGTCGGGATGATCAATGTGATGTTGTCTTTTCAATGTTTCAGCCATATCTAAGAATGGCTGTTTGTCTTCGACGGACATATGTCTAAACATTAATTTTTTCTCTATACGACAAATTATGTCATTGTTTCTATTTTTTTACCGCCATGTTTCCCCTAAAAGTTTACTCAATGATGTTTGACTGACACCGTAGCCATCACTGGATACTCGTTTTCGTTCACCTCGGGCCCATAATAGAAATGCATTCATTGGTCGTTTTACAGTTGAACTTCTCTTACGATTCTGATTTCTATTATCTAACGGTTCATTAAAGTCATCTTCATTTGTTTGTATCGGTGATAATGACTCAGTTTTGGGCAAGGGATCATTTATCGTCAAATACTAAATTGAACAGAAATATGAAAATAGTTAAATTCAAAGAAAATTCCTTACATCATGGAACGATGAAGATGGAGCTGACATCATCATCATCGTTACCGAATATCTGTCGTTTGAATTATAAAATAGTGAATGTTGTGTGCAATCCAACCTCGACTTTTACAATCGAAGAACAGTGGAGAAGAAAGAAAAATATACATGTTTCTGTGTGTCTGTCTAGTAGAAATGAATCATATCCTTGCGCATGTCGAAAAAATAAGAGAATATGTATGATTACTGAACATGAAAGTTTGCTAGTTATTCGTTCAACAAACTACAATTACGTATTATGATTTGTATAAGAATAAAAATGAGACGTTTTGTTTTCGAATCACGTAGAACTTTCATTTTGTTGAATATAATATGGAACTTAAAAAAATATAGAAAATGGCAATGGAGAAACACTGGTGAACTTTCATTTTTTTATTAGCAGCTTGTCTCTTGAAATAAAACCGTAATAACAAAGGTTGTTTTCCCCTGTGCAATGAATTTAAACATAAATTAAAACCCATTGATGGTGTTTGTGTTGGTCTATTCTCTTTTAATTTATATGTGACTTCTATTGTAGAATAGTCTATATGAAAATGTAATCGTGGTTGTGTGGGAAATAATTCTATTAACAAAAAAAAAAAACGTTTAAAAAGAAAGAAAATAATAACATTGTTTCTGAGTAAAAATCGTTCAATAGAAGATCGTACATCATTGATCAAGAAAACATTAAATGAAGTTTTTAAATTCATCGTCAAAAGCGCTTAAGTCACATCATAGGATGAACAATTGCATAAAAACATCAAGAAATTCTACAACTTATCGTTGAATATAATAGTAGTGGAAATTTTAAGACATAAGTCTGTTGATCAGTAACTAGTTCGGATCAGTACAGTACTGAAAATATGAAGAAAATTTAAATGAAACCTATGAGTAAATAGAGTTAATACTCAACTAGAAAATAAATCATGAATCTTTTCAGACATGTAAGCAATCATTTGCAGTAGATGATGAAGTTCACTCTATGACGAATGAAAATTTTGATCTTAGAATTCAATCAAAATTAATCATTTTCGAATAAGAAGTAACTATTTTTGTTGAAGACCAAGTAAAAAATAATCATAATTGATACAATGATCATTGAGCTACTTTCTATCAATCCATCAATGAATCCTATAACAATATTTTTGGCTATTGATTATATTGAAATGATTAGATACCGATTAGTAAAACGTTCTACATGATTTGACAATGTAGTTCGAAGAAAATAAAGTAATTAAAATAATATCTTCTTTCTATTTAAATATTTAAAAAAATGTTTGGTTACAAAATATGTAGAAAAGAAAAAAACAATCTGAAAAACAATATCATATATTTGTTTAATCAAAAGCTTCAACGATTGGATAATGGAGCCCCTAGATAATTGTAATAAATGAATATTTAGACTTGAAAAATAGAATACAGATATATTTACATCCAGCTCGACGTCGTGACATGTATATAATTGGATTCTGACTTTTCATCGAAATAGATAACGATGGACTAGGAGAAACGATCGTTTTCGATGATGAGATTTCTACATGAATATTGGCTGGAAGTGTTTGATGACTATTAAGTGAAGACAAGTAAAAATTCGCATTACAGTATTTCCAACGATATTATAGATTACCATCGAGGAGATTCCACTGCACTAGCACTATAGGTACAGATAGTGTTATCTTTTTTATTTAACCATTGTTTAACTTCTTCCATTGTAACGACTTTTTGCTTTGTATCTTCGTTTTTATGATAAAATGATATATAATGTGGACGTTGAATAGTTCGAAGAGGCCGACTTAAACGAAATGCTTGAACAAGAAAAAAAATCATTAATTATTTAATGACTAGAATCTATTATTACTTGTTATGAAGGCAGGACGACGGTGAATATTACCTGCTGTACGACCACCAACCCAACCTGGTGATAGTGATGTTGTCTATTAGTAGAAGAAACTTTTAAAGTATTTATTTTCAATAATAAACTTCTTACTTCATTGATTGGTATAATGCATTGTTCGTGAACTGGATTTAATGTACGTTCGAGACAAGCTCGTGTTTGATCCAAATCCCAATTTCCATTGATAATATCAAGGAGTATCATTCGATCTTTTTGGCTACTAAGCAAAAGTAATAATGGATAATTGTCAACATCATGAAAATATGAAAGACATTCAAGAAGAACTTGTCGAACACGTCCACTTCGTTCGATAAGTCTAAAAAAGAAAAGAAACGTAATGGTAAATATATAATAATTGTGAAAGAATTTCTTAGCAATATACCGTTGTTTATTCAATGGATTGGTAATATCCCATGGCCATAGAATACATTTATAGTTATGAAGAACATTTAAAATAGATGGTGAGCAGAGAATTTGACGAGAAAATGTTGTAGCAAAAGTAGATTTATCATGGTTGAGAAAAATAGCAAATGGACCATGCTATACAAAGATTAATAACCATAAATGGAAGTACATCTGTACTAAGAATATTTACTGATTGATTAATAACATTTTCAAGTGATGCTTTAAACCATATTGGCCATCGGTTAACATCTGCATGACGATCTTGAAAAGTTCTTTCAAAATGACGAACACCTTCCAATTCATTTAGACAGTCATTTGGAACTACAAAATTATAGATAATGGGAAAAAAACTTGAAACATATGACATAACTAAACCTACTGAGTGATTGATCAAAACCAAGAGACGACTGAATAACATTGTGAACGACAATCGGTGGTTTCTGTTTAACAGAATCAACATTTTCAAGTACATAATTAATGGCTTCCTATTATTCTTCTAAAAAATATAAAACAACAAGGAAAATTTAAAAAAGTACCAAATTACCAAACAATTCCATCGAAATTGTTCAAGAATATTTATACATTTATCAGGATTAAATATTGTAGTGCGAGACTAAATTGTGCAAAGTGATTGAAAAGAAAATGAATGTAAAACAATGAATACCTGAAATTGTGCCAACATTTCTTCTTGCTTATTTTTAAGCATTTCTAATCGATTCAATCGAACACACACGCGATATTCTCAAATATACGAATTGCTATCTATTTCTTGCGTTCTATTCTATGTGAAAGGATATCATGGTCGTTTAAGCGTCTGTACTTTTTCTAGAAGAAAAATCATAGAACACGTTAATATAGATTTTTTTCCCGTTCTTTTATCATAAGCACAATTTCAAACAATATAAACGGAAAATTCAAATAAGATGAAATTTACTTGAATCTAAATGTTGTACAAACTGCTTTATTATGAATAGTTTCATCAATTTGAGAGTGCATATTCAGAATCGATCGATCGAAAGTAACTGTCTGTAATAAAATGAAATACACTATTGCATATTGATAATTAAGCTAAGTTGAAAAAATTTGATCAGATTCAAATCATTTGTAAGTTATCACCAAAAAAAAACCGAGCGCCTAATGTCTATCGATAATCTAATCAATGAGCACACCTTTCGGTACTGAAATAGTGAAGGGATGAGTAGATTTTCAGTTCATCAGTTTGAAAGAAAATACAGAGATTTGTCACACAATAGTAAATATACCAACTGATATGCATTGGTGGAAGATGTTCAAAATATTTTTAGATTAAAGTCGTTGTTAAGTCAATTTACGAAGTTCCAATCATGACAAAAAGATATTTTGGTTCAGTATCTTGTCAAAAGCTAATTCACTAGAATATTATTCATTTTCACATCAAATACATTGTTATAGAAGCATGAATGGTTAGAATTATTTAATAATTACTAATCAACGATTGGCAAATAACTGTTCATGTTGACTTTAATTAGTATTTTGAAATAGATTACAAGTAGAAGAAAATTGTATCTGCAATTTAATATTAAGAATATGATTTCATTTTATTATTATTGAGTAGTTCAAAAAAGAAACAAGGATTCTCTTACTTATTGGTCTTTTACATTTATTTTGTTCTCATATATTATGTCACCGAATAAAGAATAAAAATATCAACTATATATATTTTTCTCTCCATTATGTTAATTTGAATGAAAAACTGGCTTCAAAACTTGCTAAACTGTTTTAATTAAACATAGCAATAATTTGAACTGAATAGTAAATATGATTAAGACATGAAAACAATTGTTTTAGTTTTCGAAGGAGTGAACCAGGAAACAATTTATTAATGAATCGACAAAAGCGACCAATCTAACTCTATTTTGTATAGAAATGAAACACAATTGGTAGACCAGATGTGAGATTATAAGTTGAGTTTTTAGGCAATTGTTTTAGCAACTCAAGTATCATTCAATCATTAATGAACGGATAATTTGATTGTTTTACATCAAATAGCTACCGACTTCTGATATATTTCTAACAATCTAAGAGTACGTTTTCTTTTATGGCACATTTTCCCCCGTTTACAAGGACATTTATTTCAGTTTTTGTTTAAAACTGCACTACTATGAGCTGCAGATTTTCAAAAACGACATCAAAGAACTAATGTTGATTGGTTAATCTTTTGCAAATTATTTTTTGTGATGCTGTTCATTAGTTCATCGCCTAACATAGAGATATACGTAACTTTGTTTAGTCATTTATTATAGAGTTAATAGTACTTATGGAAACGAACTTCTTTCGTATGTTCTTCCATGATGATATTATACGATTAAAGTTCGGTAACATGGGGGGATAGATATAACGTGAAAAAAACAATATACATGCATCGTTCATTGTCAATGATCGATGTATGTATCTTCATTAATTACATAATGTTTTAATATTGTTGTTTCTTTCCATTGTGCTCATTTTAATATTAACTTATCTTTTTCCAACTAAATAACATGTATAATTATTAATATCTATTGGTTTCACTAAATTATAAAAACTATAACACAAGTCTCAATTGATTTTAAACTATTTTCCTTTGTTTGTTTCGTTCTTATACAACAAGAAATACAAACATGATACGCACAAAAATCGAAAGTAAACAACGAAAGTTCAAGAAAACAAAAGGGATAGTGAAATCAATCAATTACAGAAAAACACATGCAGATATCTGAGATGGATCAAGAGCGACGAAAAAAAAATACATCAATATGTTCCTTGAGTAATTTAATTCTGGGATTGGAAATTTCTATTCTGGATTTAACGCGGTTGTTGCTGTTGTTGTTGTTGTTGTTTGTTGTGGTGGCTGAGAAGAAGGATGAACCGTTGAATCATGCCGTTGGAATACAGGGCCCACTTTATTCATATATTTCTTAACATAAACTTCTGTTTTTAATCGTACACGTTCAGTTAGTATTGGTGATAATGGAATTCCATCATTTTTAGCTTTTTCAATTTCTTTATCAAGTACGGCTAATGTAAATTTTTTAACAAGATATTTAATATCATCGGTTGATATAATACGTCCTTGTTTACATGTTCGTTTAGTATATGGTTTTAATGTAGTATGAACATGTTGAGAAATATTTTTACGAAGAAGTTCACGATAACTTTTCGATGATGAAGATGATAATGTATTTGGGTTCAATGAAACGTGTTTATCGACATTATCATTGATTTCGGAAGATTCTTTCACTGTTATTGACACATTGTTTTCATTATTTTCATCGATAGGTACTTGCGAAACATTAGCAGACAGTTCATCAGTATGTTCTACAGAGTTTTTATCATTGATTTCGTCTTGTTTGAACTGTTCATTTGAAATAATCATTGATGTTTCATCTTTCAATTGTGAATCAAGTTCTTCGCTAATGACAGTCGTAGATTCAACTGTTTCTGAAACCCGTTTTCGTTTATTGTTACTGCTTGTTATATGATGATGATGTCGATGACTACGACTGTGACGTTGAGAATGTTTTATTGGTTTCATAGTTGAACGGGATGATGAAGAAAGTTGCTGTTGTTGTTGATCATGATGTCGATGATACTTTTCATGAATTTGAGCTGATGAAAGTGGACTTAAATCTAGAGGTGGAGGAGGTAATGAATTTGAAATTGAATGTTCATTAGGCGTAGTCAAAGACGGTGGTGTCCAACTAGTTGTCATTGTTTGTCGATTGTAAAAATAAACAGCAGAATCCGACGGACACGCTGCGACGGACCAACCCAATGGTAAATAAATAATACGTGATAATTCATTTTCATGAGAAGGTCTTGGTGGTGGAGGAATAGGTGGTTCATCTTTATCAATCTACGAAATAACAACAATGAAAATTACATAAATAAGATTCTATCAACTTACCGAAGAATTGGATACTGATATTGGTTGACCTAGAAAACAAACATATCATGAAATTGAACTTATTTGAATTTTCATTCATACCAATAGAAGCCATATATGAGCGAATGTAATCGACGGGAAATTGTGATAAATGTTGATGAATCCAAAATGTTTGATCGATTTGTTGTGAATTGACCTAAAACAAAATACACATGAGATTTAAAAGTTAAAGAAATAATATAAATTTACAGTATTCGTAGGAAACGTCCAAGAATTGATATCCGACTGAAATTAGAAAAGTAAAAGAGAGAACATAAAATGTAAGGATAATTTATTTCTTCATACCATTGATGAAGACTGTGATTGAGGTGGCGTACTTGGAACCATTGGATCTAGACTATCGGATGTTCGTTGTTTCTTTTGAGGAGGCTCATTTTGCATAGCTAATTATATTAGAAGAATATGTTTGAAAACTGAACAAGAAAAAACTATTCAAACCTAGACTTTCATCATTGAGTGCTGCTGCAGCGGCTGCCATCGTTCTTGCCTTAAAAGATAAGAAAAGAGAAAGATGAAAGTTTCTTTAGAAGTAAAAACAAATAGAATATTTTACTTTTTCCGCATCTTCATATTGTTGTTCAAATAGTTTTCGTCGTTCATCTTTTGACAATTGTTGGTCTTGTGTACGTGGAATATCTCGTACAACAAATGAACGCCTTGCATAGGGACGATCATTTGATTTTTGTTGTGTTGCTGATGAACGTGCACTAAAATTAAATCGATAGTTATTTTCTTCAGATGGAGTTTTTGAACTATGGTGATGATGATGGTGGTGATGATGATGATGACGATGATGATAATTTGAGTTTTGTTCAGGTTCTTTTCGTTTTGGAATAATATAACGCTCTTTTAATGACATCCATGTTGAATAAAGATAACTAAAAAAATAGTGATAACGAAAAATCTCTTTTTGTTCGATATAATCTAATATAAATATCTTGAAACTTACAAAAGTTTCGATATAATTGGATCATTAAGGTGATTAAGCATTGAGTTCAGTAAACTGCCGATTGGTTCTTGATCATTACTACCAAGATCATCTGTTTTTTGTAATGGTAATTGTAATTTTTTATAAACTAAGTCGAGTAAACCATTTTTAATCACAATTGTTCGATCTTTAATTGGTAGAACAGAATGTATGAAATCTAACAAATAATATTTGAACTCATTTGTGTATTGTTGTTCATCATCATCAATCAAAATATCTTTCATCCATGAACATAATACATGTAAACCATTACATTCTAAAAATAATCTTGGCAATTCGAACTGTTTTTGCGAACTATTTTTAATAAGATCTAATTCAATAGTTCGAATATTTTCACTATCTGTTCTGGACATAATTTGTATTAATTGACGAATATCGTCAACTGTTTTTGGCATAATATATTCATTTGTATTATCATCAACTAAATACTCAAGTATTTCATCATCATCTAATGGTTGACGTTGATTTTGTCGTTGATTTGAATTATTATTATTATTTTTAACACTAATTGTACCACGACATGTTAGTGCGCCGCAATAACATTTTTCATTTATTAAATCAGTCGCACCAAATGTTTCAAAACGATAATCAATGGTTATTTCTTCGGTAATATTTAGATCACGTTTAGCAAAAATTCCCATACGATATTCACCGTTAACAAGCCATTTTTCAGCAACACAATTCGGCTCACATGAATGATTTATAAATCTTGCCCAATTCCCTTTAATTGTTGAATCAATAACTGTTCCATGTATTAGTGACATAACGTATTGATGTACATTTCCATCACGTTTATATTTTTTACTTCGACGTGCTAATTCATCCATATCAACGACTTCGCCAACATATTCAACAAGAAAACGACCTTTATGTATTGGTGCTATTGTTCGTAATCCATAACCTTTCATTTCAGTTTTAAATAAAGCTAATTTATGATTTGCATATGAGCGTCGTTGAAAACGACGATTAGTACACCATTGACCACATGGACATAATGGACCACATTCAATTAATAACATACGATTTAGACATTCATGTCCACATGCTTTTGTACCATGTGAACGATCATATTCACTAGTAGTACATTCACATTCCATTACTTCACGATTATGACGTTTCTTTTGCCGACGTGATGATGACAAACAATTTATATTTTCACTAATTTGACAATAATTTAAGATTGTATCAACAGGTAAATTTATATTTAATACTGGTTCTGGTATAACTGCTGGCGCAATATCAGAAAATCTAGATACTCGTACTGGTTTACTTGAAGAAGAACGAACTTGAGCTTTTAGAAAAATATTATTTATTAAAACAAATTAACAAAAAAAGCAAAAAGATTTAAACTCACCATTGCTTGAATGATCATTTAGTTCAACAGTTTTCATCGGTTTTACTTCGTCAACAGTTGATGAAGTAGAGGATTGAACTGTTTGAACTTCATTTAATACAAAACGACGTGGCGTTATTGATTCAGTTGTTATTTCTTTCAAACAACGCTGTTGCAGTTGTAATGTAAATGGAGGTGGTGGAACAGAAAATCCTGAAAAATTCTCGGAGTAGAATGCATTTGTTTCGGAAAGAGAACGCATTGTTGAGGATATTTGTATGTCAGAATTCATATTTGATGATTGAATTGGTATCAAATGATTCGATGATGATACATTTGGATTTTTTTGTGTAGATATGGATTCAATTGATTCCGAAGCTTTAAGAAATATTTTTTCAAGTGTTGGTGAACGACGAAATTTTTTTTCATGATGATGATGATGATAATAATGATTATTTCTTGATGATGAACGTGATGATGATGTCCGAGATATAGAAGAATAAGATGATGAACTACGTGATGATGAAGATGATGTTCGACTTGAACTTCGACGACGAGGCGAAGAAGATAATGATGAAGATGTTGAAGAAACATTTCTTGAACAACGTTGATGAGAACGAGGAGATATTGATCGACGACGATCATAATGTCTTGATGATCCTGTTCGATAATGATGATGATGATGATGAACATAATGAGTATGTGGATAATAGGAATGAGAAGGTGGAGTTCGATGGTGATGATCATGACGATGATGATAATCATTTCTTCGATCATAATTTGAAGGTGAATCATGACGATTATATCGGTGATGATCTGACGAAGATTTTCTTCGATACTCATCGTTCGGTGATGCAATACGCGATCGATGATTCGATTTTTTATCATTATGTGAATTTTCATTGACTAGAAATTGAAAATAAATAAAATATTTTATCCTGACAGCAATCAATAATTGAGAAAAATAATAGATACAGTACCTGTAGTAGAAATTTTTTCATCATTGATTTTATTTTGATTGACAGAACTGTCGTCGGAATTTGATGGCTCGGCTAGTTTTCGATTTGTTTTATCTTTTGATTTTGATTTCGAACGGTGTCGACTATGACTTCGTCGATTATATCGTGATGAACATTGTTTTTCTTGATTTGAATCATTTCTCTCATTATTTAGTATAGTTGTCGATTTTTCTTGTTTGACGACAATTAACGATGAACGACGATGTCCAGGTGAAATTTCTAAGGATTTTTGGTGTTTGGAAGAATTTGTTAAGTTTTCATCGCTGATCTAATGGAAAGACAAAAGTCAAAATTTTATGATATAATTATTTTAAAATAGCAAATACTCGAGTTCTATGTTTGCAATTATTCTCGTCGACAATTGTATCGGAGCCATGACCACGAAGTTTTGAATGAGAAACGGAAGATGAAATTGAATTTGTCGATTTACTATTTGAAACTAATTCATTTTGTTGTCGATGTAATTTTGTTACTGACATTGAATTACGATCATCTTTCTAAAATAGTAAAATCTACGAAAAAGATAGATCAAAATAAATAAATGAACCTTAGGTGATGAAGAAGTGTTTGTTTGTAATCGATCTGTATTTACTGTCGAATGATGAGATCGTGATGGGGACGGAGAAGGTGTTATTGATGAACCACGGCGATGATGACGACGAGAAGAAGAACTTTGATGATTATTACTTTCATGTTTTGAATTTGAATGATGTCGATTATGATGATGATCGTTTGGAGATGATGTTGATTTTATTGTATGTGAAGATTCATCTTTCTGAAATATATTTTAAAACAATTGATTCATAGAAATTTGATGGAAATTAATAATATACTCTTGAAGCTACTGATGATCTATTTGACCGTCGATTTACTTGATGATTATCGTTTGATGGTGATCTTCGATTATTTTTAGTTGAAGACATTGTTGAAGATGAATGATGACGAGAAGATGTATAATGACAATCGTTACTCGATATATTTTCATCTTTATGTTGTCGATTACTTTTTGACGATGAATTACTTTCCTGATTTTTATTCGTCTAAAATAATATTACAATAATTTGAAATAAACTAATATATGCCGTGGAAATTACTTGATGGTGATTATAATTTGATCGATCTCGGTCTTTTGATTCATTACGTGTTATTTTCTTCTTTTTTGAATCTTTAATCTTATGACTCTTTTTCTTTTTATTTGATGTTCGATCTGTTGTGACTGATGACGATTCTCGTTCAATCCCTGTGATTGTTGTTTGATCTGTTTGTGTTACAATTGTTGATGATGCCTCAGTATTCACTCGTGTTCGATCCGTAGAAGAAGAAATAATAAGACCCGATTTAACAACAACAATCGGTTTCACAACAGCCAAAGGTTTACTACTATTAATACTGTTCGAATTATCTTCTAAATTTGATTTTGGATCGGTCGTCGAAGAACATGTCGAGGTAATATCGGAAAATTCCGTTAATTGTTTATGATCATTATCGGTCGGAATCAATAAATCACTACTATTGTTACCTGTACTTTTATCAAGTTCCCGTACTTTATGTGATAATTTATTACCCTTGCCCCATAATTTACTTAAAATTTTACGTCGTCTTGCTTCATCATCAACAGTATTTGAAGATGAACTCAAAGAAAGTGTTGGCGTTGATGTTGATTCGGATAAAATTACGACTGAGTCTATTTTACAAAAAATTAGAATAACACGTATAAATTGTATGAAAATTTCGAAAAAAAAACACATACCAGTCGTAGATGATGCCACATTTAACTCGCTCATGCTTGTTTGAATCCCTGCTATACAAAAAAAAATGTTTATACTAATCGAATGTTGGATAAGTAAAGTTTGATTTTTCTTCTCGATACACACACACACATACAAGTAATTTAATGAGATATCACACAGAATGAGTCTGTGTGTATTAGGTGAAAGTACGAAAAATTTGTGAGTAGATACTAGAATAATTCATGATTGTAAACTTACGGTTATTTTTATACGTTCTTCGTTGTTGCTATTCTGAACATAATACACGACCTCAATGGTGTGTAAAATATAAATCAAACGAGATGGTTGAAAAGACAGAAGAAAAAAAGAAAAAAGGACACCGACACCAAAGAATTTCAAAAACAAAACAACCGCATCAATTTTTTTTCTTCAAGCGTGTCGCTACTATGCAATAAACAGAAGTATATGTAGTGGCGCTACGTCATACTGTAACAATAAACAATCACAGGTGCAGCCAATAAAAACGATTCATTCATCCTCTTTGTCGAAAACTCCGTTTTTTCTCTATTCGTATCATTCGAAAACATGAGAAAAAAAACAGCAACTACTGTAAAATAAATTAGATAAGATATAATTCACAAGTCCTTACTTTGATCGTATTCTGATATTGATTGGTGTGATCTGTGTACATAGAGCGCATCTTGCGTGACAATAATGATGGCGCTGTGATATTGGTCAATGTATTCGAGTAGGATATAGTAGATAGGTAGGAAAAAATAGATCATGATGCTGACAACTGTTAATCATGTCAATACCATGTTTATTCATATGAATTAGAGTTACTCACATAGTCTAACGATTTTACAGTTGTTTTCATGCAGTCAGGTAAGTATTTAATTCTACTACAGAAGTGAGGCAAAACTGTTCCTAAACGACAGTAAACGATTGAGATAACATTTGTTTAAGCTATGACTGCGTATAAATTACAAAATATTTACCGAGCTATTTATTGCGTATATCATTTATACGATGACGTTATGAATCAACAGTTAAACCATAGTATAAGGTTATTTTCTAAAAATCTTTTAAAAATATAGTTGTATTCGTTTTGATAGATGGATATAGGAAATAAAACGTTAGATAAAATACTACAGAACTTCCAATAGACTACAGTATTTTGAAATGGTATGTTCAGGCGAAAAATGATTAAGTTAACCTTTGATTTGGTTTCCAAGCTTTTAAAAAGAATATAACCGACCTGCTGGGTCACTTTGCTAGATTTACGGATAACATTGCAACAATAATAATGAAGAAAATTTCTTATTCAATCACATTATTTTTGATTATAGATGCAACTGTTATCACTGCTAATTGTTGCAAATGTCAATTATTCTCCTAAATAGAAAATTCAAAGTACAACAACTGGAAGAAATATATAGTGTTGCCTAGAGAGATAAGTACGCTTTCAAATTAACTCTAATTGAATTCAGCGCTGTTCTATGGCATTATTATGAAGCTGTCGACAGAAAAAAGTCATACGACTCGAAAAACAGAAAATAATAAACATGTTGCTTGAAAACATTTTGTTCTTGTCTTTGTCTTTTGAACAATTTCAAATTATATTGAATTATTAGAGAGCTTAATTTTTCTATTCTATGATTGTTCTCTTCATCTATTGAGACGCATTCTATTTCAATGAAAAGTTTACGTACAACTGCAAACAAAAGTAAACTAGTTAAAAAGAATTATGTTTTAACTCATCTATTTAAGCGTTTCATTGAATTTCCTCAGATAATAGTAAACGAGTGTGACTGATAAATGTTTATATGATTAATATAGAACTATAATTTCTCACAGGAAATAACGAAATAATACATGTATGATTCTGTGTATGAAGAGATGAGCATAAAATAATGAACATCGATATATATATATATGTATTAGGAATGCTTGAGAGCTTTAAACTATACTATTTTAGCATTGAATATTGACAATAGAGGGAAAAGTTATCTTTAAGGAGTTTAAAAAGCATATTAAAATCTGCACCATCTCGTCTTATCAGAATCTAGTCATTTACCAAATTATACAACAACTCTGTGTCATCTAGGATTTCGCCTAACTTGGTAGTTGAACTATTCAATTTTATGGACAGAAGGAGTATAAGGTGTTAGTTCTCTAAACATCTACAGAAATTTAACAATCAACAGATTTGATTGAAACGCAAGAGAGATTTCTCAGCCTTTCTTTTTTGGAATACACAGCCCATCCAGTTACATTTTATGAATTGAAGAAGGGGTATGAGATATGTCGTGGTCCATTTTTGTAAAATACAGATATATTTTGCTGAAGAAGATGGTGAATGTAGGTTTTAAGATGAAGTATTGAAACAGTTAACCCGCTCCTGTTTGCAAGGGGTCAGAAGTAAAAAGGTTCTAAGAAAATTTATTTTCTATTAGCCGACTTTGTAAGACTTTGAAAACGTTACAGGATATGTGTGAGTTCCCAATTTCAGTCTCAATCGGGCTTTGTCTTAACAAGAGTGATCAATGGACAGATGGTCGAATAGTTTTCCTATTGTAATTATCTAGCTTGCAATATCTATACTAAATTGTGTATTTAACAAATCGATTTTCTACTAGAATGAAGTTTTACTCTTTATATATCATCCGAATGACTTTTTTCTCACTGATCATTTCTCTTTCATTGTATACGTGAAATAAGCGCCATACTCTCCATAATGAGAAACAATTCCAGTCTTATGTCAAAGCATCTCAGCATTTCATCGAACAATCAATCTAATTAGATCGATTAGTGGACATTTGAATATGAAGTTACACCGATAGGTCAAGTTCAGAGTAGAGGTAGTAGGTTAATTAGTTTTGTTGACTATCAAAATAGCTAACTAACCTGATTACTTCAGACAATGAACTTGCGCATAAAATGTTTTGATCAGTTTTTACTGTAAGTCAGCAATACATCCTAGTAGATTTTAGAATTTATTTCAATAGGAGGCTCATTGGCACATCTATCGAGTTTCGTATTACATTTGGCAGAAGTTAATAATAATAATATTTACAATTATCAGGGCCGATAGATTCGATGAGGAGAAAAAAGTGTACTATTTTTCATTATGGATACATTCTTTCTTAGAATCCTGTAAGTGCAACGAATTAAAATTCTTTCCCTGTTGACTGCAAAAACAGACCCAACTATACTGTTTTGCAATAAAAACGACTAGAGGCATTATAAGAAGTGATCGACAATTTTTGTTGTTCGAATAGTAATATGTTCCTAAGATTCATCGACTTTCATAGGAGCAACATTGCGAAGAAAACAAGCAAAGGTTCGAATCTGACCAATGTATCCAGAAAACAGGTGTGGAACACAATCCGCACTTGCAAATTTAAGGAAATTTGTATTTCTTTAGTCGGCTTCTAAGAAAAGCGTCTATATAGTGATAAATTTAGACTTTTTGAGCATGAAACTAATTTATTTTTGCTTACAAAAAAGAGTATATTAACTGCATAAATTATGTGCTTTATATTTAGACTTTTTGTTAATCTTAGGTTAGCGTCACAGATGAAACAATAAAATTTTAAATCATTCAAGAATCAAAAATTGTTGAAATGTTCTTGCCAAACTTGTAAAAAGTATAGATTGTGTGACTAAACTATAAGAAATCTTGAAAGAACTGCATTATTTTATTTTTATGTATTTATTTTCAACTAGAAAACAATGAAATATTCTGTGTCATGATCATTTTTGAACTGCTCTCTCAAAAATATTATAAACGAAAATATTGTTTTAGAGTCATAATATATCTCATTTATTGATTACAAGTAGAATCAAAAGTAGATTCGATTAGTATTCATTACAGATGTGTCTGAAACACTGTAAAAAATAATAAGTATAGTTTCTTTTTCTTTTCGTTGTTCCTGTCTAGTAATCGGTTGTGGTTAATATATACAGTCTAAGAAAAAAGAACAAAATAAATTGAACAAAGCGTCAATATATTCTGGAAGTATATTCACAAATTTTCGTGATGACTGCTGAATCTATTATTTTTCCAGTATTAATATTATCTCTTCTTTATATTTTGAAACTTTTCGATGAATTTCCGTCGCCTAGACAAACTTTTGAACATCAATTAACAGATAAAAAGTACGCTTAGTAACTGTTGAGAATGATTACTACTAGACTAGATGATTCAATTTAATATTGTTGTTTGATAAATTTTGTTGTACAATAAAATATTTGAAAAAATTCGATTAGAAAACTTATTGCTCATGAATATTCTGAGAAAATTCAATTATTATTATCCTCTAATTTTTATTCTTTGGTGTTTTGAAAGAAGCAATGATTAATGAATAAATAGTGAATAAGCTGTAACTGCTCTGACAAAGCAACAAGAGTACAGGAGAAAAATAATACAGAGAGAGAACCTGTTCTCAAAAACACAACACACCAAAATCACTAACAAAAACAAAAATGCTGGAAAAATAAAGATCGCTGTACAACATTTTCAAACCACAGAGCAAGAAGAAAAACAAAAATAGTTTTGTACTCAAAAAGAAAAACAAAGCAATCCAAAGCAAAGCAAAAGTATAGATACAAGATTATTCAGAAATATGAGAAAAAATACACAAAAAAAAACGAACAAACAAGCAAACAAACAAACAAGCTCTTACGATTGCACTAAATACTGACAGTAATATATATGACGAAGAAAAAAATCATTTGTTAGTAACTCTAAATACAATATATTTGATTTATTAGTTTGAATTAGGGGTGGCTCTTTAATTTTAAACTTTAAAACTTTAACTTTAATAAAAGTAGTGTAAAAATGAAAAGTAATTTTTAGCTCTTTATGTGCGGTTCTATATGGTTTTTATAGTAACTTTAAACTCTGTTTATTAAAGTTTAAAGTTTAAAGTTACTCTAAAAACCACATAAAATTGCACATAAAGAGCTAAAAATTATTTTTCATTTTTACAGTACTTTTATTAAAGTTAAAGTGTTACACATTAACTTCTACTCTTAAAGTTGAAAGTAGACTTTAAACTTTAATTTTTAAAGTAAAGTTAAAGTGCCACCCCTAGTTTGAATTATTAAACTCACTGAAAAATTGAGCGACCACAGTGTGGACAATATTTGCAACAGTTTTTATCATTGCTAAAAACAAGAACATAGATTAATGGAAATATTGAGTCGTCATTTGATCCTGGAAGCATCTTACATTATTGGTTCAGTATTTGTTCGTTGCCAACTATTGTTTACATTTTCATTGTCGGTGGACCATTCAGCATGTGGTGATTGAACTAATGGAGGAAAGAGCGTTGAAAGTGGACTAGATGACGGAGTTGGAGATGCATTAATCCATAGATTCGATTCTAGTTCAGGTGATGGATGCCACGTGTTCGAGGAAGGTGGTGTTAATGGCATCCACATTGGTGCATCAGGTGATAAAGATGATGAGGCTGTGAATAATGAAGTAGGACGATTAGTTGAAAGTGCTATTTATATAATTGAATACATAGACGAAGCTTTTTCAAATTACTTTTAAGAATTAATACTTACATCGAAAAGCCGTTCGAGCAGGTGTGTGTGGTGGTGTTGATGAGAGAGATGAAGTTGGATGATTCTTCGCGACGGCCAAAGAGACCTTGCACAAGAAAAAAAACAGATCAATATGCACGCAAATAAAATGAGAGAAAATTTAGTAGCATACTGTTATTTTCCGTCCGTCAGCAATAGTGCCATTTTTAACTTGCATAGCACGTTCACCATCACGTCGCCGAAGAAATGTAAGAAATCCAAAGCCTTTTGATCCTTGTGCATTTGAAACTACCTCAACATCATCAACTGAGCCAAAAATCTATAGAAGAAATAAAAATCACATGAAGTCTGCTATTTTTGTAAATTTTATTGAGTATATTATTTACATCAAACTGCTCTCGTAAATGTTTATCGGACCAACTAAATGGAATGTTTCCAACATGAATACGTAAAGGACCATCATCTACCAAAGATAATTGACGAGATAAATGAATATTATTGATACCATTATTGGATATAATTGAACCATTATTGAATTGATGATGAAAGAACTAAAATGAAGAATTAAATAATGGGTATTTCATTTAAATATTTATTTTGAAAAATAATCACCTGCATTATCGTTGTTTTGTTATTCGGTAGAACAATGATCAAAATATGAGTGACGGACTAAACGATCTAAAAGTAATAACGAAATATTGGAATTTAGTTCGTGTCCATGAAACACGAAAAACAAGTCTATGTCTACGCTCATCGTATATCTTTACTAATTTCTGCACAGAACGACGAACTGACCGGGCATTTAAAATCTTTCTCTTCTTTGCATGCATTTATTTTTCTGTTCTTCTATGTCTTGTGTACACAACATATAAAACGCACATGTTGTCACTCACGACTCGATTTATTTCACTGTTGTATGTAACTGATTGTATGAAAGAAACTTCAATAAATTAGTGGTCGATTTTGCGAACATATGTACAACGGATATATATATATATATATTTAAATATTCTTCTTTGTTTGTCTATTGGCTATCGAGGTCGTTTTCAACTAATCACGTTTTATTTCATTCTCACGAAAAATCGTTACTCGTTTTCAACAATATCATATAAATTAATCCTTGGTTCTTTTTGCTTCTCTTTCGGTAACGTCATCATTTACAAAAATGTAACAGTCATTAAATCAGTTACATTAGCTTTTAACGAAGAATAAAAATTCGAATATTTTATTTTCAGATTATTACACGATGGCATTTATATGGAATGATAAAAATAATTTTATTCTATTACATTATGTTGAGCTTCATCATCATCATCATCATCATCATCATCAACATCATCAACAACAACAACAACAACAACAATCAACAATATCAGATATAAATTGGTCATCGATTGTAAATGATATTAATCTTGAAATTTGTTCAACTTCAACTGTATACTATGATTATCATATTGCTTATTTTACATAATTATTTTCTTTTCTTTCTAGTTATTAAAGAATCAATACGAATATTTATTAGAAAAATTTTGTACACAACAAGACTCGTTAGTGCTAAAAAAACTATTTTATTTTATTATTGTTATCAGAAATCAAATCATTTAGAAAATTTCTTCATTCGACATTCAAACGTAACTATTTACATTCATTGTGTCAAAAAATAGAAGATGATCTACAAGTAACACTTGAAACTGTCTATGAATTAATAAGACATGCACGTACCAAACGAATTCATGCTGAGGATATTGAAAATTTGCTTACAGAATGGAATTTTAAGTAAACACATCTTTTTCTTAATAATAAAATAAAATTGTTCTATTTCAGTTTTACATCTGATGACGAAAAAAGCAATAAAGATCGTCTGTTGCATGTATTAAATCGTCTTCTTAATTATATACACACTTTTTCAAACAATGATGATCGAGCAATACCCCATTATTTAGTAACATAGATTAATAATTAGGTTTTCTACTTCTATTTAAGTATTAATTTAGTCGACAAATTCAAATATGACCAAGCAATCGATTGTTATTCAAGAAGGAATACACGATCAAGATCTAGAATTGATATCAGATAATGATGATGACATTTCGATGACACATGCCTCTAAAACGAAACAAAAGCAATTGTTAAATATTGATAATAATCAGCCACTATTAACTGCAATTGAACCAGACGTTTGTTTTATTTCTAAGAATATTTTATTGTAGTATAAAATTATTGTTTAAAATTTTAATTAGAAATTTTCTACAGCTCGTCGTCGAACAAAATCATTAACAGTATTCGATGCAAATAAACAATATAAAGTAAATATTGGAGTAGAATGGTTTGTACCAAAATTAAAACGCCGACAGAGATCTTCATCTTTTCATGGACAATATCAATCATCAGTATCAATCGATTCTTTACTATTACAAAATCGAAATGTTCAACGTAATGATATACGTAAGTCAAACATATTTATATCAGGAATTCATTAATTTACTATTGTTTTAATGATATAGGTGTGACGACTACAGAAAATGATCAATCTTCAGATTTGATAAATAATTCAAATCTTCGACAAACACATACACAACCAAGTATTTCTTGGCTACCACGGACAAGCGCACAGGTCTACATTCTTTAATCATTTAAATGTTCTTTTTATCCTATTGGCATCATCTTTGATTAATAGATTTCAGAAAAGGAGCGTCAACAAAATGAATCAAAACTAATCGACAATGAACAATGTGTAAATTCAATTTCAGTGCTTTTTGTTAAAGATTTCATAACATATTTGTTGATTTAATCTAGGAGCAGATGTCTTCTTCAGATTCTGAATCAATGAAAATCCAACAGTCATCAGACCAACAGGAACAACATTCATGTAAACGACAACGTCTTTCTTGAAAAATTAAAGCAATAGAACATTTTTGTATATAATTTCATATTTAACTCAAAGTTTAATTCATCATTCCTGATTTCTGTTTTCTTCTGAACTCTAATTGATTGAATTTTTCTGTATGGAATATTGAAATAATGATCCATCTTATCTTGTTGAAGTATTTTTGTTTGTAAAGAGAGTATCTCATCAATTAAATAATTTCTATGACTCAATAAATTTAGATTGAATTATTAGCTTGTTGCATCTATAAGCTATTTAGATTGGCAACATCAATTGAAGTTGAATCGGAACAGATTATTTTTGAATCTAATATTGAAATAAAATTGAATCGTTTAGGTTATCATATGATACTTATCTGATAGTTATATTCTTATCAACCGAGAGTTATTCAACGAAAGATTTTGCTTGTTCTATTGTGTATTCATAATTTTCTCCTACTTTACAAAATTTTCTACAATAATTTCACTAAGTTTTAATGACTTAGTATCATCACCATAGATTACGATAAATTTTCCATTCTAATTATTTTCTAATTTTACCTGTCGCACGCAAAATTATTGTTATAATTGTAATGTTAACTAATAGACACTAGTTATGTATGGAAATAAACTGATATTAAGACTGTAATTGCTGTTAACATCTTCATTGCAAAAATAACTTAAAAATATGATAATATCAACTCATTGAATGCAAGCACCAATTTGATTTTCATCCTTGTTAACTCCTGGACAAGAAACTGCTTCATATATTTTCTCTATTTATTAATATTGGTGATGATACTACAATAATAATCGTGTGATTCGTTGTTGTCTTTTGTACGTTCACATCATCAGTTATGTCATCCATGAGATTGCAGAGTTTTATTGTCGATTTGGAGAAATAAAACGTTATTGTTTGAATTATTATGAGATATAGAGGGTTGTCTCCATCAATGGTGCATATTAAACGCTATAAACCAGGAAAGTACTGTTTTAAAACCAATTTAAAGAATTATGTCATGGTTAGGTAACAATTTTATTTAATAGACCGAAAAAAATCACTATATCATATTTGAATAGACATTTCATTCCTCAAGATCTGTGTGAAACTCCCAATAAGACTTTATTCTCCGTGCGTCACGTAGGCTAAATTATAATATATCTTTGGGAAAAAGATGTCTGCCTTCAGGTAATGAGAGTTCACTATAAAAAGCTTACCCGTACTTGCGGGACATAATTAGAATAAAGTAAGAATGGGGAAGGTAACAGATTAAGTATAGGCCAATGTTATTTATAATAACATTAATAATAAGGATAATGATGTTTTATTAATAAAGATGGTTTCTGTCGATAAATATAATAAACAACAACTGGTTTCGTTAGAGAGAAAGAGAGAGAACGGAAAACAAGGTGGCGAATGACCGACAGGTCAAAGAGAAAACATCAAAGAGGATTAATATCATTGATATATCACAGTGACAAGTTTGGTGTCAATGAGCACCAACTATTGATGCTAACAATCTGTCGTGTCATTTTGAACTCATTGGATGAATGGGTTGGCATAGTTTTGAATCAAAATTTTAGTATTAAAATGTTTTATAGTCATGACTAAACTCATGAGAATTGTGACTTTCTATAATACCTAATTCGCTTTTCTCCATAAGAAAAATTGAGTTTTAGCTGATTGATCGAAATTTCTTCAGATCCTACATTATTTCCGTGAATGAAGGTATTTTAATAATTTATAGAATATAAAATTAGCTAAGACACATTCTCTGACTAAAAATTTATAAAAATAAAAACTTAAAAATAGCTTACAGATATCATACTAAAATCTAGTGAATTTCTTTCTACATTTCTTTCAGACACGTTCTTACTGTTATTCTATTTTTTGTTAGTTGAGACCAAAATTGAACATGAGATGTAAAAAAAAATGTTACGTTAATCTCAGAAGTAAAGAGTTATAATCAAACATTTCATTTTCCAGTATTCAAAAATGCTATGGCCTATCTGATGACACGATATATCGATATAAGAATATTTTTTATTTACTGAATTTTTGCTATCGAAATAGGTTATAAATTGAGTTCATACGGATCTTGAAGGTCTTATACTATTCAAAGTTACATGTCAAGTTTTACTTATAGCATCTGCATTATTTAGTATTTCTTTAGGTGAACGTACACACCATCTTTCGAATTGAAAACTTAGTGGCTATTGCTAGTTGTGTTATATAGGTAAATATACTTATCTTAGGGGTTAAGATAAGCTACATTCACACGCTACATACAATAGTGTATGTAGCTTATCATATGCGATTAGAACCAATAGAATCACTGTCCAATGTTTACTCTGATCCATCCAATAATTGTTTGACGTAAAATAGCTGTTGTATGCTAATATAATGTGATTTGTGCGAAACAAATTAGAAGTACTTTTTTTAAGGATTCTTCTATACTATATTAAGTGTAATGCTAATGCTTAACTAATTAAAAATATTATTTAGGATAAAACTATTAAAAGTTATGGTACTAAAATAAACAATCATACATTTTCAACGGAATCAAGGTATCATTCTAAATTGAAAATAAATTAGGATATATTTAAAATATAAGCAAACTCGTTTCCTATGATCTTATAATAATGAAACTATCGTTTACCTTAACGGGACACTAATACTTTGTC